TAGTTAGTCCAGGGTTGTCAGCAGGATGGAGAGACATGGGTGGAGGGAGAGAGATGGTCTTGCGGTGAAGGAGTTTGCTTCCCAAAACTGCTTGCTTTACCTTTACAGCACGTGTTTTGTCACTTACCTACTTCAATGATCCATTCATACCATATCATTTTTCATGTACCAGCACTCTGTAGAATATGTCCATCTATGTACCTGTCAGCCGAGGACAAGTGCCAGAGGAAGCAGTCAGTATACAGTACGGATTTTAGGTTATGTTAGGTCACCAGTGGTTCAGCTGTATCAAAGAGGCAAAGATGACGCTAAGTGATAGCAGCAGGAAGTTAGTATCGGTGTGGAAGACGCAAGTTACCTGAAGGGCGAAGACAGAACTCTGACAAATGATTATCTTGGTTGTCATAAGCAACTGTTCTGTTCATAGTTACCTCTGAATTCTTTACAGTAAGGGTACCTGCCTGTGCTGCCCATCATGGGAGCACCCTGGAAATGTTGTTGCATAGATGTGACCACGGCAGGGAGTGGGGAGGCCGTTCATTTTATGGCTTTTGAAAGACTGGGGCTCTAGCAAGACTCAGTTCTCTTCAGCAGTCAGTACAGGCACCGTAGCCTTTTGCCTATTAGTTCAAGTTCCAGGTTAATGCAGTGACCAATTTGTCATTATATTCAAATGGTTAAACACTTGAAAAGTCAGGTTTGAAATGAAAAGACTAGTTTATTATTAGAGTCAAGAGGTATGCCATTTTCAAGAAGTCAGAAATAACTTTTATTGGGAGCTGTTCGCATGTGAATTGAGAATATTTGTTACATAACAGAGTCTGACACATAGTGAGTTTTCCACAGATGTTAATTCTGTTCCATATTTTCCTTTGGGAGGGCTTACCCTCGGAAGAAAATTGCCTCCCCACTTTGCATAGGCCAGTTTTTATGAAACATAGTATCTTTATCTTATGTCTAGAAATGGCTGCTTTTAGCTGAATTAATAGAAGAGTGTTGATTTTTCTTAAAAAAATTTTTTTTATGTTTAATTTATTTCTGAGAGAGAGACAGGGTGAGCAGGGGAGGGTCAGAGAGAAAGAGACACACACACAGAATCTGAAATAGGCTCCAGGCTCTGAGCTGTCAGCACAGAGCCCGACGTGGGGCCCAAACCCACGAACTGTGAAATCATGACCTGAGCCGAAGTAGGACGCTTAACCGACTGAGCCACCCAGGTGCCCCGAGTGTTGATTTTTCTAGGCAGTTTTGAGTTTGTGTCCTCTCCTCACCTTGTGCTTGTTGAGGTCAGGATGAGTCTCAGCCAAACTGGCGTGATATTAAGTACCATACACACGTGCTGTGGGGAAGGCCAGTGAAATTCTGGATTGTTCTTTCCCTGTGGGTAGACTTAAACATTTGTCTTACTGAATAAGACTTATATTCATTTATTTTTATACTTAATCTTACAGAAGAATTTCCTAGAACTTGTGCTCTTCCCAGGGCTCACTGTGAAGATTTGAAACCACCAGTGTCTGATTTTGTCTATTGGATGAAAGTTGTCCATAACATTTCTTTGGTAGATGGAGTATTTTAAAAAGTATCTAGTTATTAATGTACTTCCAAATTCTTAGACATAGCTACAAACTACAAATTTTGTATTCAAATTCTTTCATTCAATGTTTTTAGGTATATAAAGTTTGCGCTCCTGTTTATTGATAGATTGCTAAAATTAGTAGCTCAACAGATACACCGTGGAACACAAATTTCAAAAATTTGCTTCCTTTCATTGTTCAAAAATTGGCTCAGTTTTATGATGATAAATATTCTTGCATATATTTTAATAGGTGAATTTTGTAAAAGTACTACTTGGTTTAATGTTTTTCTTTTATTATAATTTGGTATTATGTCAGTGATACAGGCAGAACAATATGACTTGTGAATTCCTAGCCTTGGAGTTAAATTGCACTGACTTTAACTTTTAATTTACACTTTTTTTTGGTCTTCAAGGTTGATATAAATTACGGAAACTCTTGTTTAAAGGAAATCCAGACCACATTTTAGAAATTGAAGGCTGAAGATTTGTTCTTTATTCAGCTGTCTAGTCCAGTGCAGATGGGTTTTAGTTACATTCAGACACAAAGAAATGTACACATTGCTTTTTTATGTCTGTAACATCCTTTGTCATGCTTCCTTCCTTTCTAGTGTGTGTTTATTCTCTTATGACTAGTAAAATTGTACTATGTATATTGGAGTGGAGACTTCCCCTGTATCTCAAAGACTGCACATGTAAAAGGGAGGGATATTTGAAAAATAAAGCCAAGCATTTGAAAATCTTGCAGTTTAATGAGTGATAGGGAGTCGATAGGTACAGGTAGCTAAGGTCAGAATCATCCAATGAATACTGCATTGCCAGAGTCTGGTAGTTTCTGGTGATATAAGCAAAGAAAAGACAGATATGGCTCCTATCATGCAACTTATACTGTAGCCGGTAATGTAGGTAACAGTAAATAAGTAATCTCAAGTTGTAAGGAGGAAGAGGATGCTATAGGTGTGCATGGTGGGAGGGATGGTGGTAGTTGTGCAGTGTGAGTATGTGTGTGTGTGTGAGAAAGAGAGAGAGTGAGTGGTTTCCCAGAAGAATATCTTTAACATGTCAGAGAGCCTTCCAAGAATTGTTCAAGAACTGGAATATATCAGAGGGCAGCATGGCTGAAATGGAGCAGTCAAGGTGGGGAGCTTTTGGAAGACAGGAACCAGATTTTTATAGAGCTTGTTAATGCAGATTGAGGATTTCGGATTTTGTCCATAAAGCAATGGAAAACTTTGGAAGCAGGAGGAGGAAGGTGGCTAAGAAAGAGTAGTCATCTGATTTGCAAAGATCCCCAGAGTGCGTCCAAGATTAGTTTGGAGGCTACTGGCTGTTTGAACTAGAATGGTCCCAAGAGGGGTAGAGAAAAGCGGTCCATTTGAAATATACTTACGTGGTAGAATCAGTAAGATTTGGTTATAGATTAAAGATGGAGTAATAAAGGGAGAAGAATGAATTCCAGACTCTAAGCACTTTGTATGTATTAAATAAATTAATTCTTAGTATGACCTCATGAGGTAGGTATTGGTATCACAATTTATAGATAAGGAAACTGAGACTCATTTCCTCTCTCATTTTGGCTTGAGATGTTGATATATATATTTATGAGACACCACTATATATATATAGTGATATAGAGATGTTGAGATACATATATATATATATATATAGTGGTGTCTCATAATGGACACAGAAGACTGGAGGTGGGGCTGGGGTTCATAAGTTTAATTTTAGACATGTTAAATTTGAGATATCTTCAAGATATCCAAATTGCAATGTAGGGTTGTTGTTTGGAAATAAGAATTTGAAGTTCAGGAGAGAGAAGTCTGAGTTAGAAATAAAGATGTGAGAATCTTTTGCATATGATTAACCTTGGAAAGTAGTTAATTGGAATGGGGAAAGAGAAGAAGGTCAAATAGAGAGCCTGAGGGCATCTGAGTGTTACGTGTTTGAGGAGAAGATACATATGAAATGGTTTATATGCTATGTCAGTTGTTTGGACTTTATTCTAAAAGTTTTAGCTTTGGGAGTCTTGGGGTTTATTGAGCTTGAGGTGTTTATGGGATGTCCAGGGATAGAAAGCTGGGCTTTTCTCACCCCCTTTCTCCATATTTTTTTTCTAAGAATTGCTTCCTGTGGTTCTTCAGAAGATCCTCTTTATAGGTTTCACATCATCTTGATTACTTTTTTCCTGATCATTTTATCAGTGGCCCTCTTTTATTGTAGTGGGCAGAGCTAAACACTATTTCAATAGTGTATGACCCGAGCAGAGTGGGTAGCTCTCACTTTGTCCAGCACATTCTGGACACTATTTCTGTGAATGTAGCTTAAGATTGAATTAGCTTTTGAGGGGAGGGGAACATTATCACATAATGTTTCTCTTACCAGCTGAAAGTGCTTTTTCATATACATATGCTCCTGCTAAGACTTGTATTTCTTATCTACGTCCTTTGTGGTAGTCATATTTTTTGGACCTAAGTAGGATTCTGTATCTGTGTTAAATTTCATCTGCTAGATTTGTCTTGTGGTTTCTACCCTATTGTGATCTTTTTGGACCTGTTACTTAAAATATATTGAGTATCCTACCCAAATTTGGTTCATCTGTAAATTTTATAAGCATGCCATCGATGTCTAAATTTAAATAATTGATCAAAAACCTAATCAGGGAGTTCCTGGGTGGCCCAGTCGGTTAAGTGTCCAACTTCAGCTCAGGTCATGATCTCATAAGATTGTAAGTTCGAGTCCTGTGTTGGACTCTGCTGAGAGCTTGGAGCCTGGAGCCTGCTTTAGATTCTGTGTCTCCCTCTTTCTCTCTGCCCCTTTCCTGCTTGTGCAGGCTCTCTCAAGAATAAATAAATAAACATTAAAAAAAAAAAAGAAAAAAGAAAGCTAATCAAAGGAGTGAAGACAGAGCTGTGGAGTGAGCTCTGGGGCCAAAGAGCCTGGGTTTGAATACCAGTGCTGCCACTTAATAGTTGTGCTGTTTTGGACAAGTTACTCTAAATACTCTGTGTCTTCGTTTCCTCACCTATAAAGTGGAAGTAGTGTCTTCTCCAGAGGGTTGTGGTAAGAATTAAATGAGAAATGCATGTGAAGTGTTGACACATGACCCACTTGACACATAGTAAGTGATCAGTCATCTAAGCTGCTGTTGTTATTATGCTCATTATTTTATAAACCATCATAGATGTTCATGCTCTTTTAACAACATGACCTACTATTGCTGAGTCTCAAAGAGTGCTTCAGGTTGTGGAATTAGACCAAAAGTTTAACCTTCTGTAATAGGAAACGTGTTAGAAAACGTGTAAGATAAAATCCTGGCCAGATAGTTATATTTTACTGTGGTTTTTCTAAACTCAAAGTTTTCTTATCTATTAATTGAGGAGCTGCATAAAATTGAGGGTCTAATTCTTCCTCTCTCTCCATGTAGGAATGGCATCACAGCTGCAGGTGTTTTCCCCCCCATCAGTGTCGTCGAGTGCCTTCTGCAGTGCGAAGAAGCTGAAAATAGAGCCCTCTGGCTGGGATGTTTCTGGACAGAGCAGCAACGACAAATATTATACCCACAGCAAAACCCTCCCAGCCACACAAGGGCAAGCCAGCTCCTCTCACCAGGTAGCAAACTTCAGCATCCCTGCGTACGACCAGGGCCTCCTCCTCCCTGCTCCTGCGCCGGAGCACATCGTCGTAACGGCTGCGGATAGCTCGGCCAGCGCTGCTACATCGACCTTCCAGAGCAGCCAGGCCCTGACTCACAGAAACAACGTTTCTTTGCTTGAGCCATATCAAAAATGTGGATTGAAAAGAAAAAGTGAGGAAGTTGACAGCAACGGTAGCGTGCAAATCATAGAAGAACATCCCCCTCTCATGCTGCAAAACAGGACTGTGGTGGGTGCCGCTGCCACAACCACCACTGTGACCACGAAGAGTAGCAGTTCCAGCGGAGAAGGGGATTACCAGCTGGTCCAGCATGAGATCCTTTGCTCTATGACCAACAGCTATGAGGTGCTGGAGTTCCTAGGCCGGGGAACATTTGGACAGGTGGCAAAGTGCTGGAAGCGGAGCACTAAGGAAATCGTGGCTATTAAAATCTTGAAGAACCACCCTTCCTATGCCAGACAAGGACAGATTGAAGTGAGCATCCTGTCCCGCCTCAGTAGTGAAAATGCTGACGAGTATAATTTTGTTCGTTCTTACGAGTGCTTTCAGCATAAGAATCACACCTGCCTTGTGTTTGAGATGCTGGAGCAGAACTTGTATGATTTTCTAAAGCAGAACAAGTTTAGCCCACTGCCACTCAAGTACATCAGACCGATCTTGCAGCAGGTGGCCACGGCCCTGATGAAGCTCAAGAGCCTTGGTCTGATTCACGCTGACCTTAAGCCTGAAAACATAATGCTGGTTGATCCAGTGCGCCAACCCTACCGAGTGAAGGTCATTGACTTTGGTTCTGCCAGTCACGTTTCCAAAGCTGTGTGCTCAACCTACTTACAGTCACGTTACTACAGGCAAGTGGCAAATGCTTAAAAGCGTATCTTAGACTAGAGATCTGTTTTTATACTTAAATATGTTATGTGGAGCTACATATAACAATGAATTTATTTACAGATTACAGGATGGATACTGTGTTTTACTTCATTCTCCTGTGTGGCGTTCCTATACATAACATAATTTTATTTAACACTGGAAAAATTCAGTCTGATTCTGAAGGTTGTTTCTAGTTGAATTAATACCAGCATCTGGCTTTAGTAAGTGCCATTATACCTAATTTTCCCATTCTAAAGAGTCTTTAAAAATATAAAGATGTTTACTTATTTGTAATGAATTTGGGCATATGTTACTGCTTTTTCCATGTTCCTATCTTGGCAGGTAGGATGCCTTGGGAATAATTCCAGGTTTTTTCATTCTTTTACATTTCCTATCTTGTGTAATTTAGATAATTGTATTTGTTGATTACCAAAGTCTCCTCCTGTTTTAACATTCTCCATAACAGTTTGAACTTTTTTGGTTGTGAGTTTATTTGATTATCCTAGAATGTCTGTGACCCAAGTGCCTCATACTTTAATGATTTATATTTCCAGATTGGAACTCCTAACAAAGCTATCTTTTTAATATATAGTAATTATTGGGACAGTACTTAAATGCTGGTATATGCAATGTTGTTCATACTGTTAACCAAGGAGAATTACTGAAAAGGGGGAAGTCTTTTATTTTTTTTATTTTTATTTTTTAAATATTTTTATTTATTTCTAGGAGAGAGAGAGAGACAGCGTGAGCAGGGGAGGGTCAGAGAGAGAGGGAGACACAGACTCCGAAACAGGCTCCAGGCTCTGAGCTGGCAGTCAGCACAGAGCCCGACGCGGGGCTCGAACCCACGAACCGCGAGATCATGACCTAAGCGAAAGTCGGACGCTTAACTGACTAAGCCACCCAGGCGCCCCAGGGGGAAGTCTTTTAAAATGAGCTTTTATTTCTCAGTACCTCATTTACTTATTTATCTAGTTATTAATTTTAAGGAGTCTGATACGTATAATGATCATTCATTAAATACAGATTGTCTACTCACCCAGTCAAGAAGTGAAACAATAAACAGAAAATAAGTAATCCACAAAACATGTTTATCAGGAGGTGTGCCCAGCATGGCAAATGCCTATATTAAATTTTGAGTAAATAGAAAGTCTGAACTTAGAATTTTATATCCTGCATGAAAGTAATGTATGGTGTTTCAGCCATACAAAGGCTCAGAAACTATTGCCAACTATATATATTTTTTTTCTAATGGTGTAAAATCTGCCTAATATGAAGTCTACCATTTTAATCATTTTCAAGTGTACCATTCGGTGTGTCATTAAGTACATTCACAATGTTGTGTAACCATCACCACTATTTCTAAAATTTTTTCATCACCGAAAACAGAAATTCTGTAACCATTAAGCAATAACTCCACCTTCCCCCTTACCTCTGGTAAGTTCTATGTGACTTTCTATCTCTATGAATTTGCCTCTTCTAGGTACTGCATGTAAGAGGAATCATGTAATATTTGTCCCTTTGTGTTTGGCTTATTTCACTTAGCTTGTTTTCAAGGTTAATCCATACTGTGGCATGTATCAAAATACCATTCATTTTCATGACTGAATAATATTCCAGTGCATGAATGTACTACATTTTGTTTATTCATTCCCTTGGGTTTACACATTTTCGGCTATTGTGAATAATGCTGCAGTGAACCTTAGCTTCAAGTGTTTAAGACCCTATTTTCGGGGCGCCTGGGTGGCTCAGTCAGTTAAGTGTCCGACTTTGGCTCAGGTCATGATCTCACAGTTTGTGGGTTTGAGCCCTGAGTTGGGCTGTGTGCTGACAGCTAGCTCAGAGCCTGGAGCCTGCTTCAGATTCTGTGTCTCCCTATCTCCCTGACCCTCCCCTGTTCACGCTATCTCTCTCTCAGAAATAAATAAAAAACATTGAAAAAAAAAGACCCTATTTTCAGTTCTTTTGGGTATATAGCTAGAAGTAGACTTGCTGGATCATATGGTAATTTTATGTTTAATTTTTTGAGGAACCACCAAACTGTTCTACAGCTGCACTATTTTACATTCCCAGTAGCAGTGCATGAGGATTCCAGTTTCTCCACCTCCTCATCAACACTTGTTTTTGTTCTCTGTGGGGTGGGGTAGGGGATAATTGCCATTCTTATGTGTGTGAAATGGTATTTGATTTGCATTTCCCTAAGGATTAGTGATGTTGAGCATCTTTTCATTTGCTTATTGGACATCTGTGTATCTTCTCTGGAGAGATGTTTGTTCGAGTCCTTTGTCCATTTTTTAATTGGGTTGGGTTTTTTTGTTGTTGAGTTATAAGTGTTCTTTATATATTTTGGGCATTAATCCCTCTACAGATAGTTGATTTGCACATATATTCTCTCATTCCGTGGGGTTGCCTTTTCGCTTTGTTGACGGTGTTTGCACAAAAGTTTTAAACTTTAATGGAGTCCAGTTTTGTGTCTTGTTTCTCATGCTTTTGGTATTATACCTAAGAATCATTGTCAAACCACTGTCCTAAAGCTTTTTTCCCTTCGCTTTCTTCTGAGAGTTCTATGTTTTTTAGCTCTTATAAGAATGTAATACAGACAGCGGCACCTGGGTGGCTCAGTCGGTTAGGCATCCGACTTTGGCTCAGGTCGTGATCTCATGGTTCGTGGGTTCAGGCCCTGCGTCAGGCTCTGTGCTGACAGCTAGCTCAGAGCCTGGAGCCAGTTCTGTGTCTCCCTCTCTCTCTGACCCTCCCCTGCTCACGCTGTGTGTTTGTCTCTCTCTCTCTCAGAAATAAATAAAACATTAAAAAAAAAAAAAGAATGTAATACAGACATAGATAGCTCTTATTTTTAGATCTTTGATCTCTTTTAATTTTTGTATATGGTGTAAGGTAAGGGTACAGTTTCATTCTTTTGCATGTGGATGTTCAGTTTTCCTAGCACCATGTGCTCAAAAGACTGTTCTTTCTCTAGTGAAAGATATTGACTCCTGTCAAACAAACACAAGGGTTTATTTGTGGGCTCTCTAGTCCATTGGTCTGTATGTCTGTCTTTGTGCCAGTACCACACCATTTTGATTGCTTGTAGTTTTGTAGTAAGTTTTAAAATTAGGGAGTGTGGGGGGCGCCTGGGTGGCTCTGTTGGTTGGGTGTCCGACTTCGGCTCATGTCATGATCTCACAGTTCGTCGGTTTGAGCCCCGCATCGGGCTCTGTGCTTACGGCTAGCTCAGAGCCTGGAGCCTGCTTCAGATTCTGTATCTCCCTCTCTCTCTGATCGTCCCCTGCTCATGCTGTCTCTCTCTCTCTCTCTCAGAAATAATAAAACATTTTTAAAAATTAAAAAAAATAAAATTAGGGAGTATGAGATCTCCAACTTTACTCTCTTTTAATATTGTTTTGTCTATTTGGGAGTCCCTTGAGATTCCACATAAATTTTAGGGTGAATTTTTCTATTTCTGTAAAAAATCTCATTGGTTTTTGAAGCGATTACACTGAATCTGTAAGTCATTTTGGTAGTAATGACATTTTCACAACATTACATCTTCCAATCCACTCTTCTCTATTTTTATCTTTTCCTTTTATAATTTTAAGAACTATGATATTTCTTACTTGAGTGAGACGGAGTAAAGACATTCCTAGAGTATTGGTTTCTGGTTTTATGCTGCTCTCAGCAGCTTGGCTAATTTTGAGAATCTCCCCTCCACTTATTATTCACTACTTAGAAGATTTAGGTTCCAATTACTTTTTCTTTTCGTTTTCTCCTTTGAGTAATCCCACCACCAGCCACTCGTGTCTGTGTCCAGAAACACCCTACAGGTCTGCTTAAGTGCTTAGTTCTGCATCTTGTTTGGAGCATGGGGGAATTGGGGGGGCACTTCTGGGGAGTGGAGGCTGATCAGCTCTTGCATCTTGATCTCTAATCAGTGCCTGCAGGTGTTTTTTAACCGTTTGCATTGGCTTGTGGTAATGAAAGCAATTTTAAGATAAAAAAAAGAGTGATAGAAATAAGAATTATTTTGTGAAATAATTTTGATGGCATTTTCTCCTAAAGGATAAAGGAGATTTGAGGGGTACCTAGTTCTGAATGCTTAGCTTTCTCTAATAAGTAATTTGTTTGAATAACTTTCAGTGTTCGATTGCCGGTCTTTTCCCCTTTCCCTGTCCTTTTAAATTTAAGCTGTTATTTGAGTAATTTGGTTGTTTTGTTTTTAGAGAAAATAATATTTTCAAATTTTTAAGTCCACTGGTGATTACTCTTCAACAAGTCATCCTGCGAATCCATCGCATTTAATTGTTGGCTATAGGAGTAATTTTAAATGGAGCTAAGTTTACACCTTAAAAATAGGAGTTATTTCTGTGTATTACTGTGTAATTAGTGTGCATACTGAAATTCAATATCCAGGGCTTGCCTACATTTAGGATTTAATGGTGGGAGTATTCTGTTATATCACAGTAATACTTGATAATAAACCTAAAGCCAGTGGAATAGCAGCTCAGGCATTCCTTCCTGATCATTAGTTCTATCCACAGTGGTATTTTTCATGTTGCTTTTAGAGGCTATTATGTCCTCACCCTGTTATCTTTCAGAAAACTGTGAAATCCCTTTGGCCATTGAAGCATCCTCGCTACAAAGCCAGCCATCCCCTTCCTGCCCTTTTCAGTTTCCATTGCTTCATCTTGCCAACAACATGCCAAAATATTATCAGTTGACATAAATTTTTGCCACCATCCTGTCTCTGTTGGCAATGGGCATGGCTAAATAAATGCCTTAGGCAGTGGAAATAATATGCTTTATTTCCTGGGCACTTTAAGTATAAATGTAGACTAATTCCAAGAAAAGTGGGTGTCTTTGGGGCTTGTGTTTTAAGCACAAAGGTTTACCCTGCTTTCAAGCTCAATGCTTTTCCATTCTGAAAAATGGAAAGCTGGCCTTTATTTAAAGTTGAGATCGCTATATTTGTTATGTATGGAAGGACAAAGTTCCGAGGAGGAAAGCATATTTTCAGTTTATTCTAGACAAATAAACATACTACAGTTTCACCTAAGCCACAGATGCAGGAAGTTAGACTTTATGTAACATATCTGATCTGGTAAGTAAGTTTGATGCCTCTGAGATGGGCAGGAAGAAACAAAGAGTGTTCATGAAAATGAGCAGAGAATAATTTGTGCTATTAAGTGATCCTACCCACAGCTTTCTCTGAGTTCTAGCAAAATAACGCTTTATAACTTTGGAGGAATTTTTTAGTTTAGAGAAGTTTGAAGTTGGGAAATCAAAAGACAGGGATTGCTATTTCTACAACCTGGTCGTAGTAATCAGCCTATTTAGCATTTGTTTTTTAAGGATGGAATGTATTTTCAAAAAGAAGGCACCCACCGTGTCTAAAGTACAATTAATGCCATTTTCCAACAAAAGTGAGTATTGTCAGTTTGGGTTTTTCCCTCTTCCCTGTGCTTCTGTAGATAATCTTTAAAAAAATTTTTTTTAAGTTTATTTAATTTGAGAGAGGCAGAGACAGTGCGAGTGGGTGAGGGGCAGAGAGAGAGAGAGGGAGAGAGAGAGAATCCCAAGCAGGCTCTGTAGCACTGTCATTGCAGAGCCTGACTCGGGGTCGAACTCACAAAACCTTGAGATCATGACCTGAGCCAAAACCAAGCGTCCAACGCTTAACTGACTGAACCACCCAGGCGCCCCTTGGTAGGTAATCTTTTTTACTGTTCAGTTGTTAGAATGTCAGAGCTAGAAAGGGACCTAGAGAAGTAATTATCTCAATGTCATCATACAGGTGAAGTAGAACCAGAAGTTTTACTGTCTAGAGTTTTTGTTGAGGGATTGAGAAATAATGGAGGCCAAGGGGAAAGATGATATAGTAATGGAGATAGTACCGAGGATTATAATCTGAATTCAGAGCTTAAAACATTCAGTCTTTAGAGATGGACCTGCTTTAAATGATGCTGTTGTGTTCAGTAAAAGAAACTAACTTCAGTCTTTTTGTTTCTCAGAGTTTAGGTCAATCAGCGTTTCTAGTTTCTACTGGCAGTGAAAAGCCTTCAGTAGACTGAGCAGCCTTATTTTATTTTTATTGTTTACATTGTTTTTTTTTCTTTTGATACTCACCTTTTTGTATGGTAGATGTGGTAGAGTTACTCTTTTAGTGAGTTTTTGGTAGAATCCTAGGTTGCTTGTTACTCCAAAAGCAGAGTGAGACCAAATGGAAAAACGGATTCCAGCCTGTCTTTAGGGGCTTTTTGTCTAACGGGGTTTGGGGGCTGGAATTAGTATTTTTCTTAATTTTTCTGAAATGTTAAGCTCTGGAATCCTAACAGTTACCACATATTATTGCTACCTTTTTAAAGAAGTAAGTTATTGGGTAGTCTACCCCTCCCTGTGACCTACCTTTGGATTTTAAAATGTCTTGCTGGTATAGTGGGAATGGCAGAATCAATCTGCTGCTCTTCAGTTGATGCTTAGGAATCCAAGCCCAGTTTTTATTTTGGCACAATGCCATTTGCACTCTCCCTGCCAGCTATTTTTGGCACTGTCATGAACTTGGAAATTAACGATTCTGCTCACTGAAAGTAAAAATTTTGTCCCCTTTCGATTTTAGAAAGGCTTTTATGTGTCTGGATAGTCTTACTCTCTCGTTTATTAATGCTATTTAAATTTGTGCCTTCTTACAAACATGCTGTAGTGGTTGGGGTTTAATTAAACTCTGAAATGCCATCAGTAATACGTGGCTCTAGCCACCTGCAACAGGAATATCCCTTCTGAAGGTTGTTTCCTTGCTTTGCAAATCCACAGTTCACATCAAGTAGCATGAAGACAGATGATAGTAGTCATTCTTTCGATTGCTGTCAAATAGTGGAGGTCCCAGCAGGCCTGGACCATTCTTCTGCTGTTTCTGTACAAGGATCAGGAAAGCCTCTAGAGCCTATGGAGTTCAACACTTTACCTTATTTTCTCAAGGCCACTACTTAGAAAAGTACTTGGGGAGGATATTCTTATTTTAGGAAGTATCTTTATACTCTGCCTGCTCAATCCTCCCTGCCCTAGAGCAACAATAAGCACATATTACCTAAAAGTAAAGTTGGGGAAACCTATCCGTCCCATGAGGGGACAGAGCCTGTTGGATGGCTCTTCATGGAGAGATTTGCTGAGGGGTCTGGAGCTGGTATTCCCTTACTAACGGATTCCAATTGTATGACTTGTAGGAAGGAAAGGAAATTATTTGGAGATGATGGTAAAATGTTTTAAGAGCTCAAACCTTACATCCAAACTGCCTGGGCTCCATCATTTAGTAATTATGTGACTTTAGGTGAGTTACTTATTTTCTCAATGCCCAGTTTCTTCATCTGTAAAACAGAAATGATACTTTATTACATAGAATCGAATACACCATTGATTAGAAGATGAAACATTATTTAGGTACAATAAGAAAGTAAAAGCACTGCCAGTGAACTAAAGTATACATCGTCATTTACAAAAATCTTCTTGATTTCAGGGATGTTAAAATGTGAAAAAAAAACAGGGGCACCTGGGTGGTTCAGACAGTTAAACATCTAACTCTTGATTTTGGCTCAGGTCATGGTCTCGTGGTTTGCGAGTTCAAGCCCTGCATTGGGTTCCAGGGCTCCCCTCTGACAACATGGAGCCTTCTTGGGATTCTCTCTTCTCTTTCTGCCCCTCCCCCACTTATGCTTGCTTGTATGCGCGTTGTCTCTCTCTCAAATAAACTTTTTTTAAAAAATGTGAAATAAGCATTCATCTTAGAATTGATGACTTAACGGTAGTAATGCCTCCTTCCATAGGGTTCTTGTGAAGGAATAAGTGACCACTTTTATAAAGAGCTTATTAGAACATTGCATGGCACCAGAGTAAGCACTATATAAGTGACATCTTTTATTATTATTGATATTAAGAATACATATTAAAAGTCCATTTATCTCATAATTTTAGTTACAGCTGGAAAAGTGCCATGTATACCACCATGCCTGATCAATTTATATAGGTGGGTATGTACTTAACTCTTACTTGTTTAGAGACAGGACCGTATCGTCAACTCGGGCCAGACTGCCAGGGTTCGAATTCTAGCTCTGCCACTTATTAACTGTAATTTGGGGCAAATTTTCTTGTCTCTGTTTCCTCTATAAATGGGGATAATAATTTTACCTTGAATGTGTTCATCTATATAAAGCTCTTAGTTTATGGTATTACCTTAGTCTTCTCTTTAAGGAGCACTAGGGTTAGTTTTCTCATGTGGAGCATTAATGGAAATGAATATTCTACAGTGCTGCCAGTTAACTACTATATCTCTGTAGAAGGCATTTCTGTTACCAAGGGGTATTTATCGATCAGGTCATTTAATTGATTTTCCCATAATTAAAAAGGTGCTAAGAGTAAAAAGAATAAATCTGTGACCCCTTATATGTGATTTCAAAATTCAGAAAGCTCTCAAAATTAAAAAAACTTTTTCTAAGTTTAGCATATTGGCAAAATCTGACTTGAACCAATGTTAAAGTCTTTATTTAGCCAACATGGTGTGACTGTTCATTGGCTTCAGTACAGAAATATTAATGTGTTTGATTTTGGGGTGCTTCCCTGAACTCCATTGGGATAGTTAATGCAATATGTAGTTTATGCATGGTGATACAAAAAATTCTGTAATTCAAAAAAAATTCTGAATTCCAAAACACAGCTGGCCCCAGAAGTTTCAAATGATGGATTTTATATCAAAGATAGTTTTCAGTTTCTTTAAATCAGTGTACCTTTAGCTGATACTAAAACCGTACTTGGTTAGGACGCCTGGGTGGCTCAGTTGGTTAGGCGCCCGACTTCTGCTCAGGTCATGATCTCACGGTTCGTGAGTTTGAGCCCTGTGTCGGGCTCTGTGCTGACAGTTCAGAGCCTGGAGCCTGCTTCAGATTCTGTGTCTCCCTCTCTCTGATCCTCCCCTGCTCACACTCTGTCTCTCTCTGTCTCTCAAAAATGAATAAACATTAAAAAAAATTTAAAAAGTAAATAAAAAAATAAAAATAGTAATTTGCTATTTTTGTTTTTACTAGAGCCCCTGAAATTATTCTTGGATTACCATTTTGTGAAGCTATTGATATGTGGTCATTGGGCTGTGTGATAGCTGAGCTGTTCCTGGGATGGCCTCTTTATCCTGGTGCTTCAGAATATGATCAGGTAAGTGTATACTTGGATGGAGATAGAAAACAAGTATTTACTAATGAAACTGATTCTAGAGGAAGAGAAGTACTTACTAGTGAAGTTTTTAGGTATGGAAGGAATAGTCTAATTAGAAAGGATTTTCTTGAAGAATAGAATTTTCTCTACCTGTTTTATTTCTAGTCGGATGTCACATTTGTAATTTAACAATTAAGAAATGTTCTTATTTCATACTACTTTAGATTGGTACTCTTCCAGATCTGTGATGATTTATTAGAGAGACTGACTTTGGTTAATAAATATGTCTTGTGACTTTTTAAGATCTAAAAGTAAAGAAGGATGAGGAATAAGAATTTTACACTTGATCCTAACCAAAAGGAGGAGAAGCGACTGGAGAATAGAAATTTTAAGAGTGACCTTTGGCTCATTCAGAGCTGTTACTTCCTCCTATACATGTCATGTACTGAAAGAAATACTCTCTACAAACTGAAACACATTGGGCCCTGGGAGCTGTGATCCATACTGGGTCTCTGCAAAATACGATTTAAGAGGAAAATCATAGGAGTTGAAAAGTATTGTAATATATGGTCTATATCTCAAAGAGGCTTTAGAAAATATGTTGCAATTTTCCAAGGAGCTGGTCCTAAGGGAAAAGCTTTTGCCATGGAAGTCAATTGTAAATTCTTATTTCTTGTTCTTTTAATAAAAATGGTTCTAACCACTGTGCTGTAAGCTTTTTGAGGGCATAGACTGTTTCATTCCACCAGTATCTCTTCAGCTTCTGATACTGTGTCTGGCACATGGTAAGTACGTGAGGTTTTTTTGTTTTTTGTTTTTAAATTTTTTTAATGTTTATTTATTTTTGAGAAAGAGAGAGAGAGTGCAAGCAGGGGAGGGGCAGAGAGCAAGGGAGACACAGAATCCGAAGCAGGCTCCAGGCTCTCTGTCAGCACAGAGCCTGATGCGGGGCCTGAACCCACAAACCGTGAGATCACAACCTGAGCTGAAGTCTCGTGCTTTGACTAAGCCACCCAGGCGCCCCTCTTTTTTGTTTTTAAAGAAATAAATGGTTATCTGGAATTATTGAAAGGAAAAAAGAATAAAACAGTGTTTTCCCCTATTCAACATAGAATTTTGATTCCTTGATCCATTTTAGATTCACATTCCAAAAATTTGATTCTTTGGGCACACATCTTTGATTGAAACATAAAAAATGAATTACTCACGTGATAACTAACTAGTTATATTGAGCTTTGAAATTTAGTCTTTTGCTGCCATGTGAGAAAGAAGCCAGCTTTCTTATTTTACAACAACAAAAAAGTGTGAAGCAGATCAAGTGAGGCAAAAACACAGTCGGTTGAACTAAACCATTGATTCTCCTTTTTGAGAATCTAATGAAGTTAGGAATATGGGATCTTCTCAGAAAAGTTTGCATACAGTGTTTTGAGTACACATTTAGGAGATTCATGGATCCCTAATGAAGAAACCTTACTATGAGTGATTACAGCCATGACAGTGCCATCCCTAGGCCAGCCTTCAACCTTAGTAAACAAATTGGTACTGTAAATTTTCCTAGGAAGTGGAAACAAATAAAATTAGATTTAAAAGCTAAGGTACAACTGGGGCTTTTTAAAATAAAGACATAAACTGATAGTTTTGAGGATTTTTGCCCAGTGTGCATAGATGTGAAGCTGTGGGTGGTAAGAGGAAGTCATTTTTCCTATGCGGAATAAATAGGACTGCTGTTACAGAGCAGGATTGCAGATGGGTTATCTTGATGCATCTCTGGTTATACAAAGAGTTCTGTGGCAGGATCTCTGTTCTTCCAGCCAAGTTTCTTTAAAACAACTTTATTGAGATATACTTTGTATACCATATAAGCCAGCCATTTAAAGCATACAGCTCAGTGATTTTTATTCACAGAGTTGTGAACTGTTCCCATAAGCAGTTTTAGAACATTTTCATCCCTCTGTAATGAAACCCTGCATCTAATTAGCAGTCAGTGCCCATTCTCCCCTGACCCTTACCCTCTCCCACCCCTGGCAACCGCTAACCTACTTTCCGTCTCTGTAGATTTGCCTATTGTAATTGATCATCTTTATTACACACCGTGTGTAGTGTTTTGTGATGGGCTTCTTTTACTTACATGCTTTTCATGCATGCTGTAGTGTGTATCAGAATGTTGTTACTTTTTATGGCCGAATAATGTTCCATTTGTATATGTGTACATCACATTTTGTTTATCCATTTATGTTTTGATGCATATTGAGTTATCATCTTTTGGCTATTGTGAATAATGGTGCTGTGAACATTGGCATACAAGTATTTAAGTTCCTATTTTCAGATTTTGGGAGTATATAGCTGGAAGTGATTACTGGGGTATCTGGAAATTTTATGTTTAAACAAACTATTTTCCATAGCAGTATCATTTTGCATTCCTACTAGCAATACGCAGGGGTTCCAATTTCTGTACATCCTTGCCAACACTGCTTATTTTCCTTTTTTCTTTTAAAGGTAGCAGCCATCCTTATGAATGTGAAATGACAACACAGAGCCCCCTGAGGATTGATTCTGTCCCTTCTCTCTGTGCCCTTCCCCCACTCAAGGGTGCCCCAGGGGATACCTGGTTTATCTCCTCTAAGTCCATTGCCCATATTTGAATTGGGTTGTTTATGGTTGTTGACTTGTAGGAGTTTTTATATATTCTGAGTATTGATCCCTTATCAGATACATAATTTGCAAACCCTTTATCCCATTCCTTGGGGTTGCCTTTTTCACTTTGTCGATAGCATCGTTTGCACAAAAATTTTTAATTTTGATGAAGACCAGTTTGTTTTTCCTTCTGTTACTTGTATCATATCCAAGAAATCATTACCAAATCCAAAGTCATGAAGATTTTTCCTGTGTTTTCTTCTGAGAGTTTTATAGTTTTGTCTCTTGCATTTAGGTGTTTGAACCATTTTAAGTTGATTTTTTAACATAGAATAAAGCAAGGGTTCAATTTCAGTATTTTGCATGTGGATATTCATTTTTTCCAGCACCATTTGCTACAAGACTGTTATTTCTCTGTTAGATTGTCTTAGACTGTCCTTCTTAAAAAATCAGTTGAGGGGTTCCTGGGCGGCTCAGTCGGTTGAGTGCCCGACTTCGGCTCAGGTTATGATCTTACAGATCGTGGGTTCAAGCCCTGCGTCGGGCCCTATGCTAACAGCTAGCTCAGAGCCTGGAGCCTGTTTCAGGTTCTGTCTCCCTCTGTCTCTGACCCTCCCCTGCTCGTGCTGTCTCTCTCAGAAATAAATAAAACATTAAAAAAATTCAAAAATCATTTGACCATAAATACGATGATTTATTTCTGGACTGTCAATTCTGTTCCATTGATCTATATCTTGTATCTGTTTTTATGCAGGTACCACATTGTTTTGGTTACTGTAGCTTTGTAGTCAGTTTTGAAACCAGGAAGTGTGAGTCCTCTAACTTTATTCTTTTTCAAGATTGTTTTGCCTATTTGGGGTCCCTTGAGATTCCATATGAATTGTAGGATTTTTTTTTTTCCTGCAAAAAAGCCATTGGGTTTTTTCTTGGTTTTTGTTTTTTGTTGTTTTTTTTAAAATAATGAGTGTATTGAATCTCTGGAAAGTATTAGCATCTTAACAGTATTGTCTTCTGATCCGTAAATATGACCAGACTTTTTTAGGTTTTCTTTAGCAGCCTTTTGTAATACTCAGAATATAGGTTTTATATTTCTTTTTTATGCTCATTTATTTTGAGAGAGAAAAAATGCACACGTGTGTGCTTGTATGCATCCGAGTGAGCAGGGGAGGGGCAGAGAAGGAGAGGGAGACAGAGAATCTTAGGCAGGCTCTGTGTTGTCAGCACATAGAGCCTGACTCCGGGCTCAATCCCATAAACCACGAGATCATCTCCTGAGCTGAAATCAAGTGTCAAATGCTTAACTGGCTAAGCCACCCAGGCACGCCTACATTTCTGTTATTAAATTTATTTCTAAGTATTCTTTTTTTGTTTTGATGGCTATGGTGAATGTAATTGTTTTCTTAATTTTATTTTCAGATTGTTTCTAATGTGTGGAAATATAATGAATTTTGTAATTGGCCTTGTATTCTGCAAACTTGTTGAACCCTGTTATATTAATTTTCTTTCTTTCGTTCTTTCTTCCTTTCTTTCTTTCTTAAGGCTATTTATTTTTAATGAAGTAATCTCTGTGCCCAGCATTGGGCTTGAACTCATGACCGCAAAATCAAGAGTTGTATGCTTTACTGACTGAGCCAGCCAGGCACCCTTCTAATAGTTTTCTGATTGAACTTCTAGTTCTGATAGTTTTGTTGGAATCCTTACAATTTTCTAACTATAAGATCATGCCAACTACAAATAAAAATAGTTTTACATCTTCCTTTCCAATCTGGATTCCTTTTTTTTTTTTTCCTTGCCTAATTCCTTTGCGTTGAACCACTAATACAGTGCTGAATAGAAGTATAAGAGCAGACATCTTTGCCTTGTTCTAAATTTTAGGGGGAAAGTATTTAGTCTTTCACTATTAAGTATGAATATCCGCCGTGGATTTTTCATAAATACTAGAGCTGAGATTTTATAGCAAATGTTTGTGAGTCTTGAAATATTAATTAGTTAATAGCTTCAAATTTGTTGGAAGTGTTTTTTAATTGTTTAAAATAACAAATGACAATAATACTTTTTGTTTGCCTAAATGTAGGACTTTTGTTTTCTCTGTATTGTAAGCTATGTGAAAAGTAGTATCTGGATGATAGCTTCCCGGTCTACTTTCACAATGAAGCTTTTTCATTCAGTAATATTAACATTTTTAAGTGTTTTTATTATTTAAGTGCATTAGTATAGAAAAATTAGAAAGATGCCGTAAGCCAGGAGATAAAACTCTCTAGTAGTTCCACCCTTCAGAGGTAACCCTGTTAGGATTTGGCATATTTTGTGTTTATATGTTTATGAGCACCTACTTTGGACACTGGGGATACAATGCTGCATAAAACATTGTCCTTGCCCTCATGGAGGCTAGAATTTGGTGATGGGAGATAGTAAGTACGCAATTATATAATACATTTAGGAGCCCCTGGGTGGCTCAGTCAGTTAAGTGTCCATTTTCGGCTCAGGTCTTGATCTTGCAATCTATGAGTTCGAGGCCTGTGTTGGGCTTTGTGCTGACAGCTCAGAGCCTGGAGCCTGCTTCAGATTCTGTGTCTCCTTCTCTCTCTGCCTCTCCCCTGCTCGTGCTCTGTCTCTCTCTTTCAAAAGTAAATAAATGTTAAAAAAATATTTTTAATACTTATATGTATATAATAAATTATGTAATTATATAAATGTATAATATGTAAATACATAATGATTATTGTAATACGACCTCCTATTGCTACTACCCTACTCTAGGCTGTCTTCTTAACTTACCTGGGTTACTAGACAGTCTCCCTTTATCTATTCTGGCGTCTCTCCAGTTTTTTTACAATGTGATTTTTACAAAACACAGATTTGATCATGTTACTTCCCTGCTTTTCAGTGGGTTTTTATACTTTTAGAATAAAGGGCTAAATCCTTAATATGGCCTCTGCGCCCCTGCATGGGTTGTCTTTCCCCTTTCTCTCTCCTTCTCTAGGTTGATCTTACTCCATTTATCCTTGCTTTTCATGCTCTAGCACCATTGGCGCCATTTCAGTTCTGGTTAAGAATATGCTTCCTTCCAGCACAGGCCCTTGTACATAGTGTTCTCATAGTCTGGAATGTTCTGCACCACCCATTCATTTCATCTAGTCAGTGCCTACTCATTCATTAGCTCAAGTGTTACTTTCTCAAGGAAATTTTCCTCACCAGTCCCCATCTAACTCAGGTTCCTTTGTTATGTATTTTTATAGAAGCCTATGTCTTTTTTTCAGAGTGCCAATTCATACTGAAAGTTTGAATATTCAGTGTCTGTCTTCCTCTCTTGACTGCAAGGTCTATGGGAGCAGGAACCACGTCTGATTTTAAAATCACCAATGCCTGGCTCAATAAGTACTTACTAAAAGAATAAATGAATATATGTGCTATATATAGTTCTATTCTACATAGTAAACTTATGGATATAGAGGAGCATATATACTGTATTTGATAATATCTAGGACAAATGTGATTGAAAGATACACATTTTTCTGTACCTCTAAGGAAGAATGCTGCCAATTAAACCATGATAATTATCAGTTGTGGGGCACCAGGGTGGCATAGTCGGTTAAACATCCATCCTCGGCTCAGGTCATGGTCTCACAGTTTGTGAGTTCGAGCTCTGCGTGGGCTCTGTGCTTGACAGCTCAGAGGCTAGAACCTGCTCAGGTTCTGTGTCTCCCTCTCTCTCTGCCCCTCCCCTGCTCACACTCTGTCTCTCTCTCCCTCAAAATAAGTAAACTTTATAAAACAAGAGAAGACTTGATAATTAACAGTTGTAAGACATATCTTGATTTCAGAGATGTTAGTGTGAAAAAATATGCCTCTTAGAATCAGTGAAGTGTAATTTTTTTAAAGTGTGATTATTTAATTTGTAATCTGCTTTTTCTACTTATATTGTGAAATATCTTTACAGGTCAATAACTGTACTTCTTTGTTTTAAATGTCTGTGTAGTATTTTATTGCATAGGTTTTATCCTGGATTAAAAAAATTTTTTTCACCCTTTTTGTATGCAAAAGAAGTTCACATTTAAAATGCTCTTGGGACAGATGAATGGATCAAGAAGATGTGGTTTATCTATACCATGGAATACTACGTGGCAATGAGAAACAATGAAATCTGGCCATGTGTAGCAACATGGATGGACCTTGAGGGTGTTATGCTGAGCGAAATAAGTCAGGCAGAGAAGGACAAATATCATATGTTTGCACGTATAGGAGGATTAGGAGGAACTTGACGGAGGAACAAGGGGGAGAAGAAGGGTGGAAATGGTGGGGGAAAAGGAGAGAGGCAAACCATGAGAGACTCTTGAATGCTGACAAAAACTGAGGACTGATGGATGTGGGGGGTAGGGGGGATGGGCATGGAGAAGGGCACTTTGGGGATGAGCACTGAGTGTTATGTGGAAACTAATTTGACAATAAACTATTTGTAAAAAAAAAAAAAAAAGAAAAGAAAATGCTCTTGGGATGCCTAAGTGGCTCAGTCAGTTAAGTGTCCGACTTTGGCTCAGGTCATGATCTCATGGTCCATGAATTCAAACCCCCCGTCAGGCTCTGTGCTGATAGCTCAGAGCCTGGAGCCTGCTTTGGATTCTGTGTCTCCCTCTCTCTTTGCCCATCCCCCACTCATACTCTCTCTGTCTCTCTCAAAAATAAATGAACATTAAAAAAATTTTTTTAATGTCCTTATCTACATTAAAGTTTGTTTTTCTGTCTTGCTAATGCTGTGTTAGCTTCCCGTTACATAGCTCCCATAGATTTAAAAGTCATATCCTGCTGTTGTTTGATAGCAGGTCAGATTTGGCCTATATGGGGGCGCCTGGGTGGCTTAGTCGGTTGAGCGTCCAACTTTCGCTTAGGTCATGATCTCGCGGTTCGTGGGTTCGAGCCCCACGTCAGGCTCTGTGCTGACTGCCAGCTCAGAGCCTGGAGCCTGTTTCAGTCTGTGACTCCCTCTCTCTCTGGTCCTCCCCTGCTCACGCTGTCTCTCTCTCTCTCTCTCTCCTAGAAAAAAAAAAAAAAAGATTTGGCCTATACACCATAGTTTCTTGACCTCTGCTTTACACTGTTAAAAAATTGATAAGGATCCCCAAGAGCTCTGGGTAGTTTATATTTACTAGTATATAGGCATTAGAAATTAAAACTGAAGGTTTTTAGAGGGAGATGTGGGAAGTAAGATTTATTTCCTCGCTTACAAGTTTCTAATTTCATCTTAAGTATAGCCATTCAAATATGGAAAAGGTGGTAAAAAAAAAATTGCCTCTTGTGACACTCTCAGTAGTGGAGAGAAAAGCAAATCATCTCTTCTGTTGCTTTCTTGCGTTGTGAGAATTGTGGAAGCAAACAAATGTGAACAATAAAACTGGGAAATTTTTAAAACATGAGTATATATAAGCATGTTTCATTACCCATCAGTGCAGTGACAGCATCATACATCCTCTCTAGAAGTCTCCACTCTACAATCATAAGAAGGGAATGAAAGGCAGATTTCTTCTCAGTATTATTTTTAAAATAGGTTTTTCTTCTTGGGCTCCCTGAAATGATCTTGGGGACCCGCAGGGGGTCTCCAGACAAGACTTTGAAAACTGCTGGCCTCGTTCATAGTAGGTGTTCAGTAAATGTTGGTTGAGTGGCCACAGTGCCTGTCCCCTCGTGATATAGGGACAGAGAAGCTAAAAGAAGGATCTAACTTTATGGTGTGAGAGAGAAGCTCTTGGGCAGTTTAGAATCGGGACAACTGACAGGAACTAGAGTAGCCAAGAAAGAAATTATGAAAATGTTTTCCAAATCTTTTAAATTTGATAATGTATCAACAAAGAAAACAAACAAACAAAAAAAATCCCATTGGTGATCCATTGAATAGTTTGTTGAAAATAATTCTCTTCTGTCCTAGAAATCTGATGTTTTCTGAACTTTGTATCAGAAGTCAATAAAAAAGCAAAAATGGTGGGGCATCTGGGTGGCTCAGTTAAGCATCTGACTCTTGGTTTTAGCTCAGGTCATGATCTCACGGTTTTGTGGGTTTGAGCCCTGCGTTGGGCTCTGCTTTGGCGGCACGGAGCCTGCTTGGGATTTCTCTCCCTCTCTCTCTACTCCTCCCCCACTCGGGTTGTCTCTGTCTCTTTCAAAATAAATAAAAAAACTTTTTTAAAAAAGCAAAAATGGTTACAAACAAAATTTTCAAAACTGAATTTTCCTTGTAAATGACTTGTAATAACATGGCAATAACTGAGTAAATATTTGGGGATTACCTGTGAGTGGGTTAGCATGTTTATGTATTTGCAGGTAGATTTCATTCGTATCGATTTGACTGGAGCAATAGTGTCTTAGTGTAAAAGGTTTTAATAGTTTCCCCTTTTCACTCCAAATCAATGTTTTAATGATTTTGCTGTTTCAGATTCGTTACATTTCACAAACACAAGGCCTGCCCGCTGAATACCTTCTCAGTGCTGGGACAAAAACAACCAGGTTTTTCAACAGAGATCCTAATTTGGGGTATCCGCTGTGGAGGCTTAAGGTCTGTCCCCTCTACTATCCTGTGCATTCCCGTACTCCTCACCCCCGACTTTTTAGTTATTTAGGGAAATGGGGTGGTGGTGGGAATGTATGTGTGCAGGAGGAAGTACTTGGGAAAATGATTTCACTGTACCCTTTGACTTGATCCTTGGTTAAAAAATAAACTGAATGCCTGTTGAGTTGTCTAAGGTTATTTTGCGAATATGAACCAGCAGCCGAGAAGGGATGTAGAGAATAGTGCTCACTGTTGAGTCACAGGAAGAAGTAGAGTAACTTAGCAATGACTGTTTTTAGAGAGCCCTCAGGGAATGTGGGAAAACGTAATTTTCTAACTCCCCACGTGAAGCCCTTGCGTATTTTCTTCAACCAAATACCTGTTTTTTCCTTCTGAGCCTATTCCTTTAACTTGAGAGATCTCTGGGTAATTTGAGTAACCCTGTGAGTCTCTGCCTCTGAGCATTTGAAGTATTATTTCATTTGAAAGTATAATGCGCCTCCTATGACACCCTCAGGAACAGCGCTGCACCCTTGTTTCCACACTGCAGTTAGCACTGGTGAAGGGGCGGAGAGGTCCAGGTGCCGACTCCCCACCAGGTTTTTGGGGTGTTAATTGCTTTCGTGTTCGGTGTCTCTGGTGGGCTGGGTGACAGTACTTGTCTCTTTGTCTTCTGGCTTTAATTTAGAACAAAATGTGAGAATAATATACAGAGGAAATTTTAAAAATCTATTTTATAGACACCAGAAGAACATGAATTGGAGACTGGAATCAAATCAAAGGAAGCTCGAAAGTACATTTTTAATTGTTTAGATGACATGGCTCAGGTGAGTATAGAAAATTTCAGGAAGCCAGACGTTTATGTATTTCTTTAATCAGAGACACACTTCTGTTGATTAATTGTATTAAAGATAGAGTCAATCTGTTATCTTCTAGTATGTTTTCATTTTTTAGAGAAAAAAGTTCATTAACATTCTGCCGTGTATTAAAAGAACGCTGAATTTTAACCAAGGACACTTTTAAAATTATTTCTCCTTTGCTTTTGCTCTAACTGGTCTTGTTGCCTGTCAGTATTTTGAAATACTGTTTCTGAAGGTTTCTTTCCTATCCATGTTGTCTGTTAAACCCATACTTACATAAGAGCTAAATTTTATTGAGCACTTACTGTGTTCCGGTCTCTGTTTAAACACTTTATACTTTATTATGTCATTTAGTCTTTTCAACTATAGAAACTTTTATATTTAAGTAATAATAATCACTTTTGCTTAACTTGTTTGTCCAAAGTTTGAATGAAAAGACTTCATTCAGCTTTATCGTACCAACAGACTCTACCAAACTGAAGATTTTAATTAGCATGAGAAGAGCTTCCACTTGTGAAAATGATTATAGTGTAATAAAAAGGATTTCCTCAGGTTTCTCTCTTAGATCTGTATCTTTCTATCTATCTATCATGCAGATGGTTAGTGTCAGCATTAAAGATTAAGTGATGAAGTATAATGTTTCTAAATTTTCCTTCGAAGGTGAATATGTCCACAGACCTAGAGGGAACAGACATGTTGGCAGAGAAGGCGGATCGAAGAGAATACATTGATCTGCTAAAAAAAATGCTAACGATTGATGCAGATAAGAGAATTACTCCCCTGAAAACTCTTAACCATCAGTTTGTGACAATGACTCACCTTTTGGATTTTCCACATAGCAATCAGTGAGTATGGTCTGGGGCATTTGCCCTGATGCAGCTCTGTGTTGAGTTACCATCTTATACCTTAAATGGAATGATCATATGTGAGCGGCAGCCCTGGTACTTGCATATTTGACTCACTGATGCTTTCCTTTCTCATTGAAAAATCATGAGATTAAAAATAAGAAGTATGATTTTTCTCTTTATGGTTATAAAAACTCTTCATTTTATCTAAATATACTTGGGTAAAAATGTTGATCCATATTCGCCTTGAGTTATTTGTTATCTGTTTAAATCTCAGCATTCGTTTTACTGATTCTTTAATCTCTTTTTTCAGTGTTAAGTCTTGTTTTCAGAACATGGAGATCTGCAAGCGGAGGGTTCACATGTATGATACAGTGAGTCAGATCAAGAGTCCCTTCACTACGCACGTTGCCCCAAATACAAGCACAAATCTAACCATGAGCTTCAGCAACCAGCTTAATACAGTGCACAATCAGGTATTCAGTAAATGGTTTTGGAAACTCAGACCTACGAGGGGTAGAGACTAGTCAGAGTACAGGTTGAGATGAAGAAACCAGTCTTTGCTTTGGTGATTTATTGCTTCTTACGAATTTCTACTTGGCAAAAGTGACGGAAGACAGGGTAGACTGATAATACCTACCAGTCACGTATTGCCGAAAATCAAATACACAGGCCTCATCCAGGCCCTCATAGTAGTCCCATAAACGGACCCTAGCTGTTGTACTGCTTACTGCTGTTAGTTGTACTGACTGTAGCCAGATGACCCTCTTTCTCTCTGTTGGAAAGATTTGATATGTCTCATTACATGTGTCGAAGCTTGTTTCCAATCATTTGTTTCTATGCTGCACATTAGAGCCTCAGAACGTATTCATCTTGTAATTGCAAGTTTGTACCCTTTGACCTTTCACCCATTTTCTCTCCTACCTTACTGTCCTGTTCCTGGTAATCACCAGTCTACTCACTGTTTGTATGAGTTCAGTTTGGAGTTTCCAATAATTAACAGTGGTTTTGCATTCATTTGCCAGATGGTGATATTTACATTTGTTATTGAAGATGTAAGCTTCCTAATTTCTTAGCTAGCTCTACTTTTAAAATGAGATTTGGTGGTATCTCACATCCAGCAACTTTTTGTACAGAAAGAAGGAATCGAGGTTTATACAGCCTCAGTTGGTACGGGACCATTTTTTTATTCTTTGTTTTCTTAGTCAACCTTACAATATACCTTACATTTAGAGATTGGAAAATTTTCTTAAGCAGAGAGTTATTTCAAAGATGGTTAATATTTTAAAACTTGGTTTTAAGTTTTTCTGGATAGATTCTGCGTGTGTAAAAATATTGTCATTTCCACTTGATACCAGTGTACAGCTGTACTCCTTTTGTTCTTAGGCCAGTGTTCTAGCTTCCAGTTCTACTGCAGCAGCTGCTACTCTTTCTCTGGCTAATTCAGATGTCTCCCTGCTGAACTACCAGTCGGCTCTGTACCCATCATCTGCCGCAGCAGTTCCTGGAGTTGCCCAGCAGGGTGTCTCCCTGCAGCCTGGAACCACCCAGATTTGCACTCAGACAGATCCATTCCAGCAGACATTTATAGTATGTCCACCTGCTTTTCAGAGTAAGTAGGGGAAACTGTTATATCAAACTCACAGATCTTGCTTTAGGCACTTCCTTATTAGGTATCTAGTTGTTTAGTTTTGATCTCTGACAAGTTTAAACTGTGTCTCAGACTATGAAGATAACTGAGATTAACCAAGTGTGTTTACCCATTTTACATTGGTTATTTATCTAGCCATGATACTATCTGACACAGTACGGGAGTTCACCTAACATTTTCTTATTCGAACTGCCCTGATACCAATTTCTTGCCCACTGAGACCTTGTACCAATGTCCTATATCTTGTATAAGCCTGTATCTCTCCATATGCAGGAAATATTAAGCTTCAAGAAATTTGTTGTAAACGGAAGTTCTGTATGGAGCCTTATGTCCTGTATCATTCCATTATTAAACAAAATTAGCATTCCAAATAAAATACAGTTTTATTCTAAAATGTAGAGATTATGTTTAAGAATGTGGAAACCTTGTGAGTTACATTTAGAAATAAAGACCGTTATTTATTGAATTGAAAAATCCTACAAGCAGAGGTAGTTGTGTGGGGAATGCAGTAAGATTATCTGCCTCAGCTTATGAATCCTACTGTTCCTGTAGACTCCTACCAACAGAGGAACGGAATAGCTGGAGAAGGAGGCTCTGACCCCATGTGTCGCAATAAGATTTGAATTTTCACATTCCCATCCTTCCTCATTTTTTTTCCATTGTTCTGTAATTCAGTCTGTTCAGTTCCTTTTTTTCTGAAATATGGGAAATGTGTTTATTGAGCTGGTGAGCCATTTAAAAGGTCAAATTATTTTAGGGATATTTTCTGACGACACACTTGATTTTCCCAGCAGAAAGTCAGGTTTATACCCTGTGGAAATAAACCAGGATTTAGGCTTCTTATAGCACTTTACATAGAAGTAGATAGCATTTTTATCTTCTTACTTCAGTTACTTACTGACTGTGACTCTCTTGTTTGTTTGGTTTCTGACAGAGTCGGAGCGAGCAGAAGGAAAAGAGGGGCTGGGGGAGACTGAGAGATTACCGGGAGCACAGGAGAGCAGTAGCGAAGTAAACCAGGGAGAAACCACAGGGAGAGCGGGGGAGCAGATTCGAAACCCGTAAATGCAAATTTAGCCTAACTTACCAAATTATTTTCTCCGTATGTTGCATAGTAGTAAATTCTGTACTTTGGGTTGTCATATGTTGAGTGTTTCTTCTACTGAATTTAGAAAACTAGTCACCCTCCTCCCCCTCATCGTTTCCAAAGTGAATCTCATGGGAACGGTTTTCAGATGTGGGACTCCAAAGTTCTCTGCTGCTTCTCAGATGATATTCATGAGATGAGGCAGAACTTCTTAGTTCCTTTAACAAAATTAAATGTAAACTGGGTGTGGAGGGGAGAAGTGGTATAACTCTTTTTGAGGTAATTAGATAAGTATAAGCTTTAGAATTTTATTTTCTATTTAGAAAGTCTAAATAATCTGAGGAGCTAGGTAGAGCAAATTACAAAATTTCCAAATAAAACGGTTTTTAAATTAAGGTAATGAGGATGATGATAGCTGATATGTATCACCACATAGTGTTCTGACTGCTTCTATATGTATGAATTCATCCTCACAAACAACCCTAGGAAGTGACCCAGTGTCATTATGTCCCCTTATACATCTGCCTAAAGACTTAATATCTAGTTTGTGGTGGAATTGTGATTTGAACCCAGGTGGTGAGGTTCGTAGCTTCTGCATTTTGAAATATTCTGTACCACCTCTCAGTATTTAAACTCCGCTGCTAAGAGTTGTCTGTTGATTTGCAGCCCAGCAGTCCTGTATTCCTAGTTCCTCCTTTCCTTTTACCATCTGCTTTTCTGTAAGATGCTATACCTGGAGGAAAACAAACCATAATCAATTAGACAGTTTTACTCTTCCTTCCATACTTCCATGGATTTTTATTTAACATGTATTCATCAAAAACAAAAACAAAACTAATCATTTCTTAGCTCAGGGTTCAGGGAGAACCTTCCAAAAGAGTTAACCTCTTGGCAATTCATTGTTTCCACTTGTAGTTTCCTGAAGAAGCTAGTTTTAAACAGGCTTAACTGCTGTGGTTTAACCTAAATTACAATAACAATCTGCTACTTACTTAGTTACATTTGTAGGTCAGTACTATAAATATTACTTCCTGTACTATTCCTGTGGATCAAAATAGAGCTACTGTTTTGCTCAGTGGTAACTATTATTCTGTAATTTTGTCCCCTTTTACTTCAATATCCTGGAACTCCTAGGTTAATTAATGTCGTGAACATTTCTTCCTAAATTTTACCTCCTTTGTTCCTGCCCATTTGTAGGAGGTCTATGACAAAAATGTCTTGTAGCTGGCCGTGTGTCTTGGGAATTTAGACAAAAATTTTGATGTTGCTTAGCTTTCATATTAGATAGTATAGCCTTATAAAGAATGACTGGCAAATTTTTTAATCCGGATGTCTGGATTTGTTACCTTTTATTTTTATGTAAGTAGCACTTTTAAAAAAATTATTGTTTTCTTTTTAAACTTTTTTTTAATGTTTTATTTATTTCTGAGAGAGAGAGGGAGACACAGAATCCGAAACAGGCTCTAGGCTCTGAGCTAGCTGTCAGCACAGAGCCCGACGTGGGACTCAAACCCACGAACCATGAGATCATGACTTGAGCCGAAGTCGGATGCTTAACCGACTGAGCCACCCAGGCGCCCCCCAAAAAATTATTGTTAAGAGTGTTTTAATTCTGATTTTACTAGTCTTTCTTACTTTGTGTATTCCTGGATTGTGTTTTCCAGCGTGAGATCTTCCTAGATCTTAAATCACTGAAGTGGAAAACTGAAAGACTTTCTGAAAACGACAGTATTAGAGTTTAGGAGTTATGCTCATTTGGCATCTCCATAACAATTTTCAGAGAAATTAGTTAGCAATAGCTTGGAAAATGTCACTGAAGAAGATCTCTAATTAAAATAAAATGTTTATGTCCCCACCTAACAAAAGTACAAGAATTAGTGAATTAGAGAAATTTCCATTAGTGGGTAATAGAAACTTAAATTCTCCACATTGCAGGTTTTGATAAGGCAGGTTTAAAAAAAAATCTTTTTTTTAATGTTTGTTTATTTTTGAAGGAGAGAGAGAGACAGAACATGAGCAGGGGAAGAGAAGAGAGAGAGGGAGACACAGATTCCGCAGCAGGCTCCAAGCTCTGAGCTGTCAACACAGAGCCTGACATGGGGCTCAAACTCACCAACTGTGAGATCATGGCCTGAGCTGAAGTCGGATACTTAACCAACCCAGGCAGACAGGGCAGGTTTAAAAGAAAGCTTTGAAGTCTCTCTTCTCAACACTTGGCAAGAAGGAGAAATATCTTTTCCCCCGAATGAGAAATTCTAATATGTAGGAAGCATTTATTCAGCATTTGTGCTCAGAGCATAATAAATAAAAAGATAAACGAGCTATGGTCACTGTTTTAAAGGTAGCAAAAAGTTCTTGATTTTCTTACTTCTCCATAGTTAGTTACAAAAGAGCCTTATTAGAAGGCTGTCAATAGCAAAAGTAGATTTCTAGAATAAGTAGAAAAAAGTAAACCAAAAGCATCTCCTTTTAAAATATTTTTATCCTGGGTTGTAATTTCTTCAGTTCACATACCAGTTAAAGATAAAATGTATAAGTAACTTGTGAACTGGGTTATAATTTTTTGAGGAATAAGGTAAAACATCTTAAAATATTCTGAAAGGGTAACTTAGGTGATAAATTATTGAGCTCTTCATAATTAAGCAAAAGTTACAATTGTATTCAAGCCTTGGCTTTTAATAAATTACATTTTAAAAACACAAGTTTTTTTCCTCCCCCAGTGAATTAAAAGGTGAATGTAAGTTAATAAGTGAAGGTTTTTGTTGCTTTTGCCTGTGCTCTTAATGGGAATGGGGTGAGTGTTGTAAGTGTTGTAGGGTAAACGGTTTTCAGAAGTCCCTTAAACCGTCTGTTCTTGTCTCAAACATCTTTCCGTTAATTTAACCTGAAGGGAGCCAAACCAGTCCCCCTTCTCCTAACTTCCGAGACTTCTGTGAAAGTCCTTTGTCTTAAGTGTCTAGAACCAACCTGGGTGACGGATTCTTTGAACAGAAAAGCTAAAAACAAACCAACAAAAACCCCTAAACGAACAATACCACAGACCCGGCAAAGCGGTGTAACTGTGGCGCTGTTTTCTCCAGCTGGCCTGCAAGCAACGACGAAGCATTCTGGATTCCCTGTGAGGATGGATAACGCTGTGCCCATCGTGCCCCAGGCACCAGCCGCCCAGCCGCTGCAGATCCAGTCAGGAGTCCTTACGCAGGTAAAAGCCACAGCCACCCGGATACTCAGTATCGCTGAAGGGCTACTGAGAATCCGATATTTTATCCTACGAGGTGGTATTCGCTTTGACTGTGAGATCTTTCTTGGTCACGATTCAGTGGACATCAAAGGAAACCTCTGTAAGAGAATGCTTCCTCAGACCTCACGCTATTGTAGCCCTGCTAGTGTCTTCCTTAGACTTAGGTGGACAGCTACCCAGACCTCGGGAAACCATGCTGAGTAAACTCACTCCGATTTTGTGGGATGCAGTTCACTTTTTGTACGTATGTAGCAATATTTTGATTCTAAAGATAAAGAGTTCCCCTTTGGTTCCCTTTAGTGCCCCCTTTGCTCACTCTTTCCGAGTCACATCATGGTGGAGAGGCTGGATCATATCAGGATGCCTCTTGGAGTATTACAAGTCCTTCATTCTGTGTGGTTAACCGACTGGGCTGTAGAAGGCCTCAGTCTGGGCAAGGAAATCATGAAATATTTATATAAGCAACAGAGGTTATATTTTCACTTTTCTGTGTGTAAATGTTTGTGGCCCATGTCACACAGGACGTTTGGAAGCCCCAAACCCTTACTTTGTGAGTTGGAAGAAGAGGAATTCTTAGTACACACCTTTGTGAACTGAGTTTTACCCAATCCTCTGAATCTGGCCCAAGAAGGATTCGTAAACTTGACTGCTTTAGGCCACTGACATTTGACCTAGTGGGCTGCTGAGCAGAGCTGCAGGGAGAGCTGTTTGTACACGCCTTTGAGGTGATGTGAGATGACCACTTGTCGGTAATGCCTTGGGGGGAGGTGAGAACCCTTCTGAATCCAGATAACCTGCCTCCGTGTTTGTTTCACTCACCTGCCTAATCTACGTTTCAGGGAAGCTGTACACCACTAATGGTAGCAACTCTTCACCCTCAAGTAGCCACCATCACACCGCAGTACGCGGTGCCCTTTACTCTGAGCTGCGCAGCCGGCCGGCCGGCGCTGGTTGAACAGACTGCCGCTGTACTGGTAATTCCCCTCGCTTGATTGTGTTACTAACGGAGTTTCTTTGGTTTCTTTCTTTTTTATTTTTTTCCTGTTTGTTTTTGTTCTGTTTTCTTCTGGTTTTCCCATTTTTCAAAACAAAACAAAAAAAAAGTTTTTTTTAACTTGGTCTCTGCAGAAGGCATGGAAGCATGTGCCGTCTTGTGGCTGTGTTCTTGCTACATCTTTAATGTCTCCTCGTTTTCCTCCCCAACATTCGCAGAAGCACTGTTTCACTCTGATACTCAGTGGGGCTCTGTGAGGAGCCAGGTCCCTTTATTCTCCCCTGCCAGCCTAGTGCGATAAAAGCTCTTCACGTAGCCTCAGAAGAGCTTCAACACTTACTGCTTTCCGCCCTTTTACCCTCTGATCCCCAAGAATGAAGGAAATGGCCTTTAGTTTGGCTCGGCTACAGGTATCCGGATGGCCAAAATTTGAACTCCTTGGCAAGTTAGCTTCCTTCTTCATTTGCTATTTTAAGCTTCTAAAACTTTTGTGCATGTAGGAATGTTTAAGATGCTCTTAATTTATTGCTTTACCGGTTGATGTTAACTTAACTTCTATGAACGTATGAAGATAACTCTTTCTGCCACTCACGATCTGTGGCAGCTGATATCTTCCGTTTAAAGGTGTCCCCTTCAGAATCTTTTTATCGTATTTCATTTGTTGGTTGAGGTTAAAGGTGAGCTCATTTTTGGGGGTTTATGGAGAAATTGATTACTTTACAAATAGGTCTTTATACAAAGGCAAAAATATGGCTGAAAAACTTTATGCAAATACAATATCTTTGTTACTAAAAGTCCTGGGGAAAGGTGATTAAATACAGCAGCAAATGTAGTAGTGTGGGGCTTAGAGCTAGGAAAAACAAATAGGACTTCGAGGTGTATTTCAGGATTTGTAAACTTCAGAGTGATCTTCGGATGTGTTTTGGTTTATTTGGGGGAGTTGGAATTGTTTATTGGACATCCAGCATTTCATTATTTGAAATTTAAAAGTAGGTAAGCTTTTGAAAAACCGTATTGATACTCTTGAACACTGATATCTATATCTTTCAAAGAGGCTTTAAATTTCCTTTGTCGTTTCTCAAGGATTCATGTGAGCGTAAACACTTCCAGAAACACACTTTGGTTGTTGGAGTTTGTTTGGCTTTTAGTTTAAAAGTCTTTGTCACCTCCAGATGAATTATATATCATAAGCATAAAACCTGAGTGCAAGGGAGTTAGCTATATTTCCAACTTGATTGATCCAAGCCACTGATTTTAATTTGCTCACCTATAGCTTTGAGAATGTCAGTTGATACTTCTTTGCTGCTTCTCTTAAGTTTGCACTAGTCATTTGCTAAGCTTTGCATATTTTTGTTCTTCCTCTGTCAAAACAGTTCGTCGCTTGGAACGCCAGATTTCTGCCTCACGTTGGAATGTTATTTCTTGCTCTGTATTAAACTACATCCTTTGTCTTGTGCAGGTGTTGGCTTATGGAAAGACGCATGGTGTGACTTAACATACTTCTCTTATTTTTTGTTTTGTTTTATTTTGTTTTAAATTCTGCTTATGGTAGCAGTCGTGTTTGCAGTTTCTCTGCTTTGAAGGCTTCTTGTTTGGAACCGGTATTTGTAACAAGTGGATCTGTTACTTGCAGAAATATTTTTAAAACAGTGTGTTGATGGCCTTGCAGTTTGAAATTCAAGAAAAGAACCATATGTACCCAAGCATTGTAGGTGATTGTTCTGTAGAATTTGAGTTTAAAAAGGAAACTTTCAAATCTGTTCCCATTTTTTCATAAAATGCCAGAATTTCTGCAAGAAGTTCAGAAAACATATTTGTTGCTGTCTATGGCAAGTGCTTGTTAAAAACTAGAAAATGATGTATTTTCTTGTAGTGATTAGTTTTTATGTGACGTATGTTTCTACAGATGATACATTAAACAGTATATTTGAGGTAACTATTAAGGACAGAATATGGTGCTCTCTGCATCTGTTTCATAAATATTTTAATTACTGCCTTATTTAATTCTATCACGTGGCTATATATGATGAAGTTAGCTTTCTTTTGCCGGCATAAGCTTGTTTGCCAAAGGATTTTGGCCTTTGGTCATCCACATCTGGCTCCATTTTCCAAGTTCTACCCATTTAAAAAGGCACAATTCTCCCCTTTGTTTTATGGGTTGAACTGACCTCATGTCTTAACTGATTGGCACTTAAAATTTTAAATTCTTATTTTTAATCTCAAGGGAGCTGTCTTAGCTCTTTCGAGGGATATTTTTAGAATCGTTGCAAAAATGACACTCTATCATTTAACCAGAGCTTCTCTCTGAACTCTTGGACTCCTTTGCTCTACAGTATAATAGAAGCTCCTAACCACAGGGATCCTCTTTTCTTTAATACCCTGGTGGTCATGTTACCGAGGTGGCTGAGAGAAAGCAGCATGCTCTCTTTCCCTGTTCATAAGACTTGCAACCTTGAGCCCCTCTGACTTTTCTTTTTTGATCTCTGCAAGTTAACAGTCTACAAGCAACTTCTTTTAAGATAGGAATTTTTCTTTCATCTGAAAAACAAAGGAAAAAGCCAAGAATGAGTCAAGTCGGGATCTTTTTGTGTGTGTTTCCTTACAGCAGGCTTGGCCTGGAGGAACCCAACAAATTCTCCTGCCTTCAACTTGGCAACAGTTGCCTGGGGTAGCTCTACACAACTCTGTCCAGCCCACAGCGGTGATTCCAGAGGCCATGGGCAGTGGCCAGCAGCTCACAGACTGGAGGCAAGTATCCCGTGTTCCTCTCTGGGGTGTTTGCAAGGGCAGATCCCTTAGGGCATCAAGCAGGACTGCTTGATGACGACTGGGAAGAAGATAAAGGAGAGATGTATCTCTGCTTCAGATTCTTTAGGAAAAGAGCCCTGTTAGGGCTCGGAGATGGGAGAATGAGAAAAGTCTGAATGCCGGAAAACAGTAGGTTCCGAGGTCAGGAATCATCTACTCCAGATTTAAAGAAAGTCTTACGCAATAGGAAGCCATACAGTGAGAACGCATAGCCTTGTAATCCAGGAACCCAATTTAAAAAATAGAATGCAGCTCTATGTGGTTGTTTTAATTGCTGTTAATGCCTACTGAGTCCTAATTTCCCAGGGATTCAGGCGTTCAGTCTTCTGCGTTTCTTTCTGTCGCTGCAGGGGCGCCCACTCTCACGGCAGCCAGTACGGCGCTATCATGCAGCAGCCGTCCTTGCTGACCAACCACGTGACGCTGGCCGCTGCTCAGCCCCTGAATGTCGGCGTTGCCCATGTCGTCAGACAGCAGCAATCTAGTTCCCTCCCTTCAAAGAAGAATAAGCAGTCTGCTCCAGTCTCCTCAAAGTAAGTGTGCGTGAGGGCTGGTAGTCAAAATGGCCTTTGTGAGAGAGCTGTTGCCAGCATGGCAGGTGCCGTGGCATAGACGCTCGCGGTGGGAAGCGGCAGGTAGCCTCCAGCCTGTGGCCGCGCTGACCTGTCCCCTTGGCCACGCATACCAGGTGTGTCCTGGTTGTGCAGTTCCTCTCTGCCGCCACTCTGCGTCTGTGCCTCCTTCGTGTCGCCGTTGTTGTTTGTCTGCCCACTTGACAGGGTGAAATTTAACCATGGAGTAGAGGGCATACACGAAAATCATGTTGGATTTTAGGTTTGTTGTCCCTGGAAATCCTGGCTGGGGTGATTAGTTTATTTTTTATTAGAACTTATGTAGTTAAGTTTATTGGCTTAATGATTAGGCAAAAAGGAATCACAAAGCAAGCTGGAAAGAGTTCTAGGGAAAAGATGGGTAGTCTTGGGGGCCAAGAACTGAGCAGTCTCTCTTGTGACCTTTTTCTCCAGGTCCTCTCTGGATGTCCTGCCTTCTCAAGTCTATTCTCTGGTTGGGAGCAGTCCCCTCCGTACCACCTCTTCTTATAACTCCCTAGTTCCCGTCTCAGACCAGCATCAGCCAATCGTCATTCCAGATACCCCCAGCCCTCCTGTGAGTGTCATCACCATCCGCAGTGACACGGATGAAGAAGAGGACAACAAGTATAAGCCCAGTAGGTAAGAAGCGCAGGGGAGCGGCCACTGAGGCTCCTACCCTAAGTCTCGCAGCTTCAGGCAAGTGGTCTGGTTTGGGCCTTTGAAAGGAAGGACTGAAAAAAAGGTATTTGGAAGCATGGCCTTGGACGCATGAGTCAGAACAGTCCAGTCTCCATAACTGAGCATCATGTTAAACCAGTCTTCCAGGCTATGTTAGCTGGAAGGTAGATATGAAGTTGCTTCATATTCAGCTCCTCTGGGGTGGAAGGCACATTATACCACAGACATGATCCCCTGCCTTTAAGGACCTTTAGAGTCTGAAAATAGATGCCATAGTAGAAGCATATAAAAAACAGTGCAACAAGTCAGTAGATAGGAGGCTATTTGTGAGTTCTTAATCTGTAAAGGCCTTTTTGGAAGAGGTGGAACTTTGAGTAGGGCTACCTGCTTTTTCTCTTCCTGCTGTATGATCTGAAAGTTGATGAATAGAAGTACCAGATAATTTCCTCTTATCTCAGCACCTTAATCCAAGTCTTAACAACTGGGCAGTTAACCAAGAGAGAGCTGATTCATTCAAGAACTGTTACGTACATCTCTCTCTCTCAGTGCTAACGTGGTTAACTGCCTTGATCGTTCTGTGTTGCATTCTTCATTGGGTCTTTAGTGTTAGGCATAGAGAAGAGGGAATAGCCCCATGTTTCCCTGAGGAGGTAGGATTCACACATGACAGTAACTTATGAGACTTTACAGAGTTATGTATAAATGAAGTTTAAATGAAATGAAAGAGCAGATTTAGAATGAAGTACTTCAAAAGAGCAATTTACAAATGGTATTTACAATTACAAAATGGTATTTACACATGGCAAGTGGACTTGAAACTAAGTTTTGAACACGGCTTCTAAACTGATTTGGGGAAGAGAAAGGATAAACTTTCCAGTGAGGAAAAGTGGCCTTGCAGTGGCAAAAATCATATAACCAGCCGGATGGCTTTGACTGGAGCCAAGCCTGTTGAAAAAATCAGGAAAATTAAATTTAGGAAAGTGGGATTCAGTTTGTGAAGGTACTTAAAAAAAGTGTGGTGGGAAGTTTGACTAGACGTGATAAGGCACCATTTATAGTCTAGCCGGGGGCTGTGGGGAAAAGTGGTGCCTGAAGGGGACTGTTGAAACAGCCAGGAGCGGAAATGGCTCAGGGGCAACATGGAAGAGGTGTGGGGGTTGTATGTCTGGCGTCATTGTGTCCTGGCTCTGAATCCTGGCTCCACCGCTCATCACCTGTGTGACCTTGGCCAAGGGTCTTACTCTTCTCCGCGCTTCAGGCTCCTCATCTGCAAAATGGGGGTGATAGAACCAAGTTGGTGGAAGTGTTGGTGAGGATTCGGTGAGATAGTATGTAGAGTATAAGCACAGTGCCCGATGCATGAAGAGCACTCAGAACTTTGCTGCTGCTAGAATTATCCTACTGCTGTAGGTGTCGTCAGCAGCTCTGTCCTCAAGGGAGGACCAGAGGTTATCCAAAGAAACTGCCAGACGGGGCGCCTGGGTGGCTTAGTCGGTTAAGCGTCCGACTTTCACTTATGTCATGATCTCGCGGTTCGTGGGTTCGAGCCCCGCGTCGGGCTCTGTGCTGACTGCCGGCTCAGAGCCTGGAGCCTGTTTCAATCTGTGACTCCCTCTCTCTCTAACCCTTCTCTGCTCATGCTGTCTCTCTCTCTCTCCTAGAAATAAAACATTAAAAAAAAAAATTAAAAAAAAAAAAAAAGAAACTGCCAGAAAAGGGGTTGGATGTTCATGAATTTTCACATATTTTCTTCTCCTCAGCTCCGGCCTGAAGGCAAGGTCTAATGTCATCAGTTATGTCACTGTCAATGATTCTCCAGACTCTGACTCTTCCTTGAGCAGCCCGTATTCCACTGATACCCTGAGTGCCCTCCGGGGCAATAGCGGACCCCTTGTGGAGGCGCCTGGCAGAGTCGTGGGGGAGGGTGCCGGCACCCGCACCATCATTGTGCCTCCACTGAAAACGCAGCTTGGCGACTGCACGGTAGCAACCCAGGCCTCAGGTGAGTGTCTTCACGGCTGCGGTTGAATTCTCCTTTGACATGCATCCCCTTAATGTGTTGCTATGATCTTCCTAAGCCAATAGTAGAGACCAGTTATTTAATTCAGAAGTCAGTTCCTTTCACGTGAAGTTATTTTTTGGCAGTTTATCTTACTGTGTTGATTTTGTTGGCATTCACATAAAAGTGGATTTTGTCGTCTCAGAAATATACTCATTGTTGGAGGGAGAAGGCAGACCAGAGCTGTTGTATGGGTGGAAGGATTAGGCAATCCACCCCCGCCCCCAAACACACACACACAGGTGATTCGAATTTGACAATCAAGCATGAACAGGAACTGATAATATTAAAAAATGACTGCGAAAAGTTTTTAAAGGAAATGATATGTACTTCTATCTTTTCTTACCCAGTGTCATAGCAGTGACACTTTTGTGGTTTTTAGTATCAACCTAATTTCCTCCATCCTTTTTGCTGTTAGGTGCCAGTCTTAGGCTCCCTGGTGCAGTTATCGGGTAAAGCTAGCCCCAGTGGCAAGCCCCACATTTCCCTTGGCTTGACACAATAGAAGTTTGCTTCTTCCTCACATGGCTTGCCAGTGCTGGTGCTCCTGCTGGGTGGGCCTGTGGTGAGGTGAGGATCAGAGCCCAGAAATCCTCAGCCTCCAGTGAGAAGGAGAAAGAGTTTGGAGGAGGGACATAACGTTTCTTTACCTCCTGAGCCCTGGAAAGAGTGAAAACTAATCACATGGCCCCACCTAGAGGCCAAGGGGCCCAGGAAGCTTAGTTCTTATCTGGGCAGCTGTTTTCCAGTGGCAGCTGTATACACCAAAGGAGGGGAGCTTCAAGTTTGAGTGTCAGGATAGCCGTGTGTGCTGTACTTAGAGTGACTTCCTGTGAATTATGTTACTGCCGGAGACATAAACAGGGGTCAGAAATAGGCAGCTGTCCCCATGCAGACAAGGCAGAACTCCTGATGCCAGGCTCCTGAGCAACGTTGTTAGGGGCTCTTTCCACTGTTGGGTCCAAAGAATACAGGCTACTCCGCACACCATTGAATAGATGCTCCAGTGTTCCTGGTGGTCCCGCAGAAGGAAACAACAGGTTGACGTTGATCTTGCTTATATCTGCCCTGCAGTTTCTTAGAATTTGAAGACAGTGAGGGCCTCAAAAATCTAGCCTTCTTTTAAAGCCCCTTTGACACCTAAATGTCCTAAGTATTGCTAGCATCTTACTCAGCTTCTGATTGTCATTCCATACTTGTTTAAGCCCTTCCTCCATAAGACTGTAGGCCCCTTGCGGGAAGGGACTGTGTCCTGCTGGTGTTTGTATTTCCAGTAGAGCCTTGTACATTACAGGAGGTTAGATACCATTTACGAAAGTGAGCCTTTCAAAGATCCTTTATGTATGGAGTTTTGCAGCCAGACAGAAAAGAAGTAGGTTGTATAGTTTTTGTTCCTCTGGTGTAAATGTGGGTGACGAAAGAAGGTATACATGAAACCTGAACTCTTGCAAGCTTTGTGCAGAGCTGAACTGATTACTGTGATGCCACCTGAGGTTTACATCTGCTACTCGTAACTCAGTAGGGTCTGACCCTGTTATAGGTCTCCTGAGCAGTAAGGCCAAGCCGGTGGCTTCAGTGAGCGGGCAGTCATCTGGATGCTGTATTACCCCCACCGGATATCGAGCTCCGCGTGGGGGGACCAGTGCGGCACAGCCACTCAACCTTAGCCAGGTAAGCGCGAGGGGCTGCTGCCTTCTGTTGGGGGCCCTTCCTCTTGTTACTCTCTGGAGAACCCTGCTTCTGGCTGGACTGCTGAATAAAGCCGACTGAAGCCCTTCTTGTGTCCGTCAGTTTGGTGTTCTGTGGCCTGCGTCATACCTGCATGTGCTGCGTCTCTGTTCCCTCGTATGTGTGTTGACGTACATCCCAGTTGTTACCCGTCAGGTTTCGCTAGCCTATCCCGGAAGCTTAAGAGAAACGTCTGGAATTTAGAAAGCTCTGGATGCTTTAGTCTGTGCCTGGTTCTGTACTACCACATGCTTTGAGACCAAATTCTCTTCCTTTCTCTCCCAGGTCGTAAATAACCTGAGCCTCACGCTGATTACTTGAGGCAAGGGACAATGAAAAACTCTGTGGCCACTTCATCAACTGGTCCTAGTCCCTTGTGGGGGCTTGAGTCTGGGATTTGCCTCCCCCCGTCCCCCCGCCCACCCCCTACTATCTGGTTCTCGGATGCAGTGGGGAAAGGCACTGTTCTGTTTCTAAAAGGGGCACTATTCACTCTTTCATCAGCTAAAATTCTGGTGCTTGTATGTTGTCTCCCAGTAGTGAGAAAGTGTATATATGAGGGGGTAGCTGTGAGTGTGTGTGAGTGCATGTTGTGTGTGTGAGAGATAAAGCACATGCAAGTGCAAATGTAAGTTTGAGTCAGTGCATGTGTTTTAGGCTCCACAAGCCAAGAGGGATATGAAGAACTTAGAGGAGAACGAAAGAAAACAATGGCAAGAAAGAAAGGTTAGGAAAAATTCAAATTCACTGGCGCCAGATTAGGGTGAGTTGAGTCAACAGTTACTAACTTGCAGGAGCAGGAAACCCTGTGAACTCTCGATTCCCCTCCCCCACCCCCCACCCCCGCCTCTGTCACATGTAAGAGCAAACTGCTGCTCTCTGGGCTGGGTTAGGATCTGTTCTGCCACGAGGTGGAGGGCTGGAGGCTGACCTCTGACAGCATGGCTGGGCTGGGAGATTGTGTGCTGTGGCAGCCCAGGGGCAGAGCAGGTTAGAACCGCGGCCCTCAGCCTGGCCTTGGGTGCTCTGAGCCAGAGTGACCCCAAGGTGCCTCACTCCTTTCTTCCTCCTTCCAGAACCAGCAGTCGTCGTCAGCTCCAACCTCGCAGGAGAGAAGCAGCAACCCTGCGCCCCGCAGGCAGCAGGCGTTTGTGGCCCCGCTCTCTCAAGCTCCCTACGCCTTCCAGCATGGCAGCCCACTGCACTCGACGGGGCACCCACACCTGGCCCCGGCCCCTGCACACCTGCCGAGCCAGCCTCACCTGTATACGTATGCTGCCCCCACCTCTGCTGCTGCATTGGGCTCCACCAGCTCCATTGCTCACCTCTTCTCCCCCCAGGGCTCCTCGAGGCACGCTGCGGCCTACACCACCCACCCTAGCACTCTGGTGCACCAGGTCCCTGTCAGCGTCGGGCCCAGCCTCCTCACTTCTGCCAGCGTGGCCCCTGCTCAGTACCAACACCAGTTTGCCACCCAGTCCTATATTGGGTCTTCCCGAGGCTCAGCCATTTACACTGGATACCCACTGAGTCCTACCAAGATCAGCCAGTATTCCTATTTGTAGTTGGTGAGCAGAGGGAGGGGGCGCTCACGGCTGCCCGTTCCTGGCCCGGAAACTTCAGTAACAGCCTATGATGAGCTCCTTCCTTGCCCCCTCTTGAAACTCCGTAGCCAGCAACTCATCCTGCAGGGGCCCCTGAAGCAGAAGGTTTCTCTGGGGGAACCTTTCTTAGTGTTGACTGCATTGTTGTAGTCTCCCAAAGTCTGCCCTATTTTTAAATTCTTTATTTTTGTGACAGCATTTCTGGTATTTGGAAGAGTTCAGATGCCCATCTTCTGCAGTTACCAAGGAAGAGAGGTCATTCTGAAGTTACCCTTTGAAAAAAGTTTCTCTCTGACTTGATTTCTATAAATGTTTTTAAAATGAGTGAAGCCCCTCTTTATTTAACTTTGTTTTATTGTGATTGCTGGTCGGAGGAAAAATGCTGATAGGAGGACTTGAAATCTGGTAACAAGTGAGAAGAGAAAAATCGTCATGTTGTACTTGTTTAAAAAACCAAGACTTACCTGCTTCCTTTAAGAGCAGCTTACCCAAGTCTGTATTTGACTATCAGGCATTTCTCCTCAAAATTTTACCTTTCTTTATAGGACGTTAGACTTACAGTGTTTTAGTTTTGTCTTCATGTCACATTAAACGTACTGGGCAATTGTTATTTTGCAAAACTGGTTATATACTGCTCTCTGTGTTACTGGTGGGATTCTCTCAGTTGCTCCTGTGTTTATTTTAAAGTAGTGTTAAAAAGGCAGCTCACCATTTGCTGGTAACTTAGTGTGAGAGAATCCATATGTACCGTGAAAGCACTAGGTATTCTTTTTAAATGAAGTACCATGCATCCTTCTTAAGTTATTTTTTACAAGTCCTTCTCTCTCTGATTCAGCTTAAATGTTACTGGAAAAGCCATTACGGTGGTTATTGTTGTATGGTGGTGATTGTCTTATTATATGCAAAATCTCTGTGTATTATGCGATACTGGCATTGGTGAGCTTTGCCTAAAGGTTGTTGGCATTGGTGAGCTTTGCCTGAATATTAATATGAATTTTCAATAACACACCTCTCTCTCTTTGCCTCATCTCTCCCTTCTGTTCTATGTGATTTATTTGGGGAGAAAGTAAAGAATATGAAACCAGATAAGAACGTCGTGTATAGCTTTTATACTTTAAAGTAGCTTCCTTTGTATGCCAGCAGCAAACTGAATGCTCTCTTATTAAGACTTATACAATAAGTGCATGTAGGAATTGCAAAAAATATTTTAAAAATTTATTACTGAATTTAAAAATATTTTAGAAGTTTTGTAATGGTGGTGTTTTAATATTTTGCATAATTAAATATGTACATATTGATTAGAAAAATATAACAAGCAATTTTTCTTGCTAACCCAAAATGTTCTTTGTAATCAAACGTGTAGTGATTACACTTGAATTGTGTATTTAGTGTGTATCTGACCCTCCAGTGTTACCCCGGAGATGGAATTGATGTCTCCATTGTATTTAAACCAAAATGAACTGATACTTGTTGGAATGTATGTGAACTAATTGCAATTATATTAGAGCATATTACTGTAGTGTCGAACGAGCAGGGGCCTTGCCTGCAAGGAGAGGAGACCCTTGGAGTTGTTTTGCACAGGTGTGTCTGGTGAGGAGTTGTTCAGTGTGTGTCTCTTCCTCCCGTTCTCCTCCCTCCCCTGTCGTAGTGCCTTATATGATGACGTAGTGGTCCCTAGAGTTCACAGTGAGCTTGCCTTAGGGCGGACCAGCAAGCCCGTGTGGACCCTAAGCTGTTCACGGGCATTTATCAGAACAGGAGCAGTCGCTGTGTCGTTTGAGTGCATCATTGTCAGTTCTCCCGCCGACACCGACCAATAACAACAGCCGCTTTTCTCCTTTCCCGCCGCCTCTCCCCCTCTCCACTTCGGAATCTCAGCTGAGTTCTCACAGAAGCCTTTCCCCGTGTGGCTCTCTCACGGTGCATTGCCACCTTGCTGCTGGGGGAATTTGGGAAGCAGGTGAGAGGAGTCAAGCCAACATTAAAATACGTGGTTTCTTTTCTTTTCTTTTCTTTTCTTTTCTTTTCTTTTCTTTTCTTTTCTTTCAGAGTATGTGCAATTGCTTTTAGAATGAGATTTTTTTTTCTCCCTTTTCCCATGTGGCAGTCCTTCCTGCAAATAGTTGACATTCCTAGTAAAATATTCGCTTGTTGAAAAAACCCTCTAACAGATCTGTTTATACCAAAGAGCCTGTTGTATTGCTTACCGTGTCCCCATACCAGGAGGAGGGGTTGTGTGCTGCCGCTGGGGACCGGGAACTCATAGAAAGGTTTCTGAGCCGGCGAAAAATAGGAAGAAGGAACCAAAGCCTGTTCAGTCATCGGGCTGCTGAGGTTTCTTTTTAACAATTTGTGTATTCTTGGGGCTGTGAAGTTGTCCTTGTACTCTCAGCTCCTGCATGGATCTGGGTCAAGTGGAGGGTACTGGGGGTGGGGATGTGCCTGCCCGGGAAAGATTTGGGGGAAGAAGGGTAACTCTAAGATACAGAAGCGTTCCATCGGAATTGAACAGTTTGTACTTGAGGGCTGAGTCCAGGACTGGTTCTTTGTAGAGATGGCGTCGAGGAGGTGCAGGGTGGAGACGGAGGATTCCATGGAGCCCGGCCAGCAAGCTCTGTGCCGGGCTGAACACCGAGGAGCTGCCGCGGTGTGTGGAGCTTCTTCCTTGGGAAGAGTAAGGGCTTCCGCGATGGGGCACAGTCAGTACAGCCTACCAGGAACGTGTCGGTGTTTTCTACTTTTTCTTTTCTCTTGTTTTCTTTTTTCTTTTGGTCATTCTGTTGAGTTGAGTTTGCATCACTGTATTGGTGAAGATAACCCAAGCAGTTTGTATAGTTTCCCTCACTAGCATTATATAGTTTTCTGGTCAGCGTGGATGATCTTTGTTTCCTTTATTGCCAAGCACATATTGATTTTCTTGCTCAAAGGCAGATCTCGTTTCTAGTAGAAACATGTTTTGTTCCTTAGCTTTCCTCTACAAGGGATAAGATGTGTTGTTTTTGTAACAAATGAGTTGCAGGAAAACACACACACACACACACACACACACAAAACACTCCACTCCTGTGCCCCTGTCCAGTAAGTAGATACCACGGAAGATATGAGTCTCATTACCTTCATGGGGAAAAGACAATACCAAGAACTTGTATGGTTATCTTGTGTGTGTAGCTTTAAGAATTTTAGAAATTTTCAGCTTTAGTCTGCAAATTGGCATTTCAGATTTACCAAGATAAATATCCATCTGTGTCTGCTGAATGTATGTATATGTGCTCAGTGTGGCTTTAGATTCTGTCCCTAGGGCTTAACATTGCCAGCCGTGGTAGGGCGGGGGGAGCCCTGTGAATTCCGGCGAGCGGCCCAACTTCAAGCCAGCTTAAGGCTCTATAGTCCTCTCTGAACTTTGTGTTTCCAGCTTCTCCCCTTCAGGGTGAGAGAGAACGGGGAGGGGGGGGGCGGGCAGCGGGGGGGGGGGGGGGCAGATGGTCTGTCAAAGGATATGGGCACCAAGCTATAAAAATTGTACAGCATTTTTTTTTTTTCATGACAGCATTAATTCCTTGACAGAAGCNGGGGGGGGGGGGGGGGGGGGGGGGGGGGGGGGGGGGGGGGGGGGGGGCCGGTCTAAGTACAGCCACTCTGGGCTCATCAGGATACTTGATCACTCTAGAGTTTTTATAGCTCCCAGGAGGGGAGACCGTTGTCAGTCCTCAGCTTGGATACCAGCCCCAGGAATAAAAAGTCCATTCCAGACAGTTCTGGCCATCGATTGCCCTCCACCGAGAGGCTCTTTGGCTGCCCTTAGCCCCAGCAAGCACAGTGAAGTGTCTTCTATTCATCATTATTATGCAAAACCCACTGGTTAGGTTGGCTTGTTTTAGGATAGGAAATGAAATTGCCTCTCGGTGACAGGAATGGCCCAAGCCTGCTTCCTATTTTGGTTTTTGGTTTTTGGGTTTTTGTTTTTTGTGTTTTTTCTTTTTTTTAACTGATGGATGGTGCAGCATGTCTACATGGTTGTTTTTGCTAAACTTTATATAATGTGTGGTTTTGATTCAGCTTGAAAAATAATCTCACTACATGTAGCAGTACATTATATGTACATTATATGTAACGTTAGTATTTCTGCTTTGAATCCTTGATATTGCAGTGGAATTCCAACTTTATTACATGTATTTGATAGGCTAGTTATTGTGTGCGATTTAAACTTTTTTTGCTTTCTCCCTTTTCTGGTTGTGCGCTTCCTTTTACAACAAGCCTCTAGAAACAGTTTCTGAGAATTATTGAGCTATGTTTGTAATGCAGATGTACCTAGGGAGTATGTAAAATAATCATTTTAACAAAAGAAATAGATATTTAAAATTTAATACTAACTACGGGAAAAGGGTCCATTGTGTAAAACATAGTTTATCTTTGGATTCAATGTTTGTCTTTGGTTTTACAAAGTAGCTTGTATTTTCAGTATTTTCTACATAATATGGTAAAATGTAGAGCAATTGCAATGCATCAATAAAATGGGTAAATTTTCTGATTCACGTGGCTGTCTTTGACTCCTCTGTAGAGGGGTGCAAAGGGGACCAACACATGGCGTCTTCGGAGGGCCTAAATACACTGCATCTGAACACCGGTGGGGTGGTGGAGGCGGGCCCGTCCCTCACCCAAACCTCCACGGCGCAGATGAGTCAGGGTTGGCAGGAAACACTTTTCAAGAATGGAGTGTCCAGGGCCCTAACTTAAGAGTGGTTCTGGCCCTTTGAAAAAGGCAGAAACTCGCGATATGGGCAAATTAAACTTTGTTTCCAAGCGTGTCCCAGCAAACATCTGAAGTATCCCTGATGAGATCAGGGCCCCCCACAAGAGGAGGCTGTTCCTCCTTTCAACTGCACTGTTAGAAGCATAGTCCCTTTGGAGGAGGGCCCTCCTGATTAGGTTTGCCTTGATTCTTAATAAGATTTGGCTAGATAGATCACTGCAGGTCTCTGCATATACACTATACTCGTCTGACTTGTTTTGTTTGACACATGCGTTTCAGGCCACATCGACCCTATGGTGGCCGTGAATTAATTGTGGGGTCCTGCAGTCATGGTTGGGAGGTAGGAATGAGACACGTTTAGAAACACTGTTTTGGACCATAAAGAGAAATGATCAATAGGCTGTTCTCTCCCGTTAGCAGGGAAGTCAGAATACATTTATTTTGATTTAGACTGCAACTTCTAGATTCTTCAGATCTCTTTTCCCCTAAGTAAGTTAACACAGAATTAGTGTGAACTCACTGAACGCTCCCCAGTCTGGGTAGGAGAACATACCTAGAAGCGTTCAGGTAGAAACAAGCCCTGTGGAAAGGCCCTGCTGTCGATCTCTCTTCAGATAATCAAGAATTAATTTGCTAGCTTCTCAGTGATCTGGGCTTTTTGTTGTTGTTAGTTGTTTAAATCTGTTATATTCTCTTGCTTATGCTAAGTGAGAGAGAGGTTGGGATAGCCCCTTAAATAGGTGGGTAGTCTAGTCTGTGCTTAAATCTGTGTTTTTTGTTTTTGATTTTAAATTTTGAAAGAGAGAGAGAGAGAGACAGGGCATGAGCAGGGGAGGGGCAAAGGATTCAGGGAGAATTCAAAGCAGGCTCCAGGCTCTGGGCTGTCAGCACAGAGCCCGACAGTGGGGCTCAAACTCATGAACTGTGAGATCATGACCTGAGCTAAAGTCAGACGCTTAACCAACTGAGCCACCCAGGCGCCCCTTAATCTGTATTTTAATGATGAAAACCCCTGTAAGTTCACTCTGCTTGGCTTGCATTGTGGAAATTTTTGCACAGCAGGTCAGGTCTAAGCCTTGGTTTCCCTAGGAATACGGAGATGACACCAGGTGCTTATCACAAGATGGCGCCAATGAGCCATAGAAGAAAGTGTACAGACTAGACCACTGTGATTTTTTTTCCCCCACCTCTTCCCCTCAGTCCTCATCTCCCCTGCTTCCAGCTTCCACCAAACAAGGCAGAAAACAATTGATGCTATTATCGCTGGGAAAGGAAAAGATTAATGGAGGCTGTGTGTTAAGGAGCCAGCACGGGAAGGAAGCAGGCGTTCTCAAAAAGAAACAGAGTCTGCCGAGTGTTCCCGGGGCCCGGCCCCCCCCCGCTAATAGCTCCTTTTACTGGGTGGCTGCCCAGAAGGCCTCTGCCCCGGGGCTTCAGCTCCTTCCCCTCTCCTGGGGAGCCTACAGCCTAGGCGGGAGGTGGTTAAGGCTGCTGGCTGCCTTGCCATACGGCCATCTGTGTTTGATCAATCCAGGCAGAGAGGATGGGGTGGGGGAGGGAAGGGGACTGTGAAAGCATTCCAGAGTAGTGAGAGAGATCCAGAAAGGGAGAAGGCACCGCCCCCACCCCGCCCCCGAAGCTAACCGGCGGGCGGGCTCGAGTGGAAAAGGCACAGGACTGCAGGCTCCTACTCCTTCTCCTGCTGCCATGGGGCCCTCCACTCCTCTCCTCATCTTGTTCCTTTTGTCGTGGCTGCGACCCCTTCAGGGACAGCAGCACCACCTTGTGGAGTACATGGAACGCCGGCTGGCTGCCTTAGAGGTGAGTGAGTCCTTTTTCTCCTGGGCCGGGCTGGAAGGACGCCACATCTCCTGTTGATTCACCCAGTGTGTTACGGATCTGGGACTGACAAGATGGGGCTCCGGAAGAACTTACAGAAAACTCTATCTGTTAATAAGAACATCCTCACGACGCCAGCCCTCCTCTTTCCCCCCATCCCCAGAGCAGTTCCAAAGCAAATAGGCTTTTGCGTCCTCCCCTGGGATGAGATGTGGAACATGAGGGACGGTGGACGTGAGAGCTAGCACTGTGGGAAGGCATCTGGAGACAAGCTGATGATCTCGTGAACGTTGGAAGTTCCGGAGAATCTGCAGCTCGGTCTTCTTTAACAGTTTGAAAGCTCTGGCATTCCCAAGTCCAGGCCTGTTGATTCCCGAGGGGAGAATCGCATGGTGGAGCAGAGACCCCTTCCCGCCCTCACGCATTTAGGCCACCCCAGAGGCTCCCGTGACTCCGTGGCACTGCTCACAGAGACCCTGGGCTGGAGGCGTGAAGTGGGGGTTGGGGCCTGGGGGATCTGAGCTGAGGTGTTGTGCACATTTAGCATCTCTGCACATCTGGTCTCTTTTCTGGGGGGTTTGCAAGGGAGCGGGGTGCCCGGCTGCGTGTGTCGTGCCTATTCCCATTCCCTCTCTCCCCATCCGGGCCTCTCCCTGCCTGGGAGCTGCAACCCTTCAGCCCCACGCCCGGCCCCCACCCCTGTAGGAACGGCTGGCCCAGTGCCAGGACCAGAGCAGCCGGCATGCCACCGAGCTGAGGGACTTCAAGAACAAGATGCTGCCGCTGCTGGAAGTGGCCGAGAAGGAGCGGGAGGCGCTCAGGACTGAGGCCGACACCATCTTGGGGAGAGTAGACCGTCTAGAGCGGGAGGTGGACTATCTGGAGACCCAGAACCCAGCACTACCCTGCGTGGAGGTTGATGAGAAAGTGACGGGAGGCCCTGGGATCAAAGGCAAGGGCAGAAGAAACGAAAAGTACGATATGCTGACAGGTAAGTGGTCCAAGAGCAAGCCCCTCACACTCTCAGAACCTGTACTTCCCCTTGCTGCTTCCCCCTTTCTCTCCTTGTCCCTGCCCACTTGGGGCGCCACCTTCTGGAATCTGCTTTAGGCAAATCTCTGTGATGACAGGTCCACTGCAAGAGTGTCTGGGGACCCGGGCCTTCGTGACTCCCTCTTCCCCGTCCTCCATGAGAGCGGAGGCATCTGACTCTCGCCTACATTTCCTTGTCCCGTGCTTGTCTCCTTCCAGACTGTGGCTACACAATCTCTCAGGTGAGGTCAGTAAAGATCCTGAAGCGGTTCGGTGGCCCAGCAGGTCTCTGGACCAAGGATCCAATGGGGCCAGCAGAGAAGATCTACGTGTTAGATGGGACACAGAATGACACAGCCTTCGTCTTCCCGAGGCTGCGGGACTTCACCCTCGCCATGGCTGCCCGGAAGGCTTCGCGGGTCCGGGTGCCCTTCCCCTGGGTCGGCACGGGGCAGCTGGTCTACGGCGGCTTTCTTTACTATGCCCGGAGGCCTCCCGGAGGGCCCGGAGGCGGGGGCGACTTGGAGAACACTCTGCAGCTGATCAAGTTCCACCTGGCAAACCGCACGGTGGTGGACAGCTCCGTATTCCCTGCCGAGGGTTTGATCCCCCCGTACGGGCTGACGGCGGACACGTACATTGACCTGGCAGCCGACGAGGAGGGCCTCTGGGCTGTCTATGCCACTCAGGAAGATGACAGGCACTTGTGCCTGGCCAAGCTAGACCCACAGACCCTGGACACAGAGCAGCAGTGGGACACCCCGTGCCCCAGGGAGAACGCCGAGGCTGCCTTTGTCATCTGTGGGACCCTATACGTGGTCTACAACACACGCCCCGCCAGTCGGGCCCGCATCCAGTGCTCCTTTGACGCCAGCGGCACGCTGACCCCTGAGAGGGCGGCGCTCCCTTACTTCCCCCGCCGATACGGGGCCCACGCCAGTCTCCGCTATAACCCTCGAGAGCGCCAGCTCTACGCCTGGGATGATGGCTACCAGATTGTCTATAAGCTGGAGATGAGAAAGAAAGAGGAAGAAGTCTGAGGATCTCGCTCTGGGGTTCGAACCTCTCTCACCTCTGAACATTTATATCCCCACAACATTCTCTGCTTCTCATTCTCCAGATGTGGGCAAGCTGGGGTTCAGAGCCCATATGTGCAGCCAATGGAAGCCAGATTCTCGCAGCCCCTTCGTTTCCGGTGGGACTTTAGAGCTTGAGAACTCCTTTTAGAGCTAAAAGAGAGAAGACCCCAAGTGCTCACTCCTCTCCTGCCTTATGTCCGTGGATTTCAGGCCCAAGGCCGCAAAGACCCAGAGCTCTGACTTTTGTACCAGGGGCCACCCCAGCAAATGAGCAAAAAAGTGTGAGTCTGGGAGGGCGGGGGCGGGGAGAGGGGGGAGGTGGTTCGGGGTAGAGTTCTAGGAAGAGGCTTTTCCGACTCGGCCCTGCCTCCCTTCTCTCTGTAGAGCCCTGGAGAATGGGACTTTGTCTACGTCGTGTGTATTGCAACCTTTTGCATTAAAAAGAAACTCCACTGCTCCTTGCCTGTGTGTGTTTGGGGGTAGCCCTCAGATCAGATTTCTCCCCATGACCCTCCATTTTCCTCTGCCACCCCATTGCCGCCCCTTAAGCCACATTAGGGACTTGGCTGGGCTCCCTCGCTGAGGGAGAGGGGCCTTCTCCAGTTACAGATTTCCCTGTGAGGTGCCTGGGGAAGCACAGAATCCCGCCACTTCAGGAGACTGGGCTGGCCCAGAGGCTTCTTCTCCGCAGCACCCTCTGATCCACAGGGTCCCTTCCCGGAGCCCAGAGCCACCCTGGGCACCGCGCCCCGGGCGGAGACACTGAGGCCCGGGGGCGAGGGTGGGGGCGTGGGGGGTAGAGCTTTCAAGTCTTCTAACTCCCGAGGTTTGGAACCAGAAAATGGATTCAAGGCACAGCACTGGAGTGTGGTGCGAAGACCAGAGCCCTGAATTTGTTTTTGGAAGGAAGCTCCGGGACTCTGCCTGGGCCCCAGACCCCACTCCTGCTCCGGCATGGGGCAGTCCCCAGGGCCCAGTTGCACAACCGGGCTTGCTCTGAACCGCTCCGACTTCCCTACTGCCACAGTGGGCTGCGGTTTGGGCGAGGAGGAGGGGTGATGACCATGCCCCAGATGCTAGCTTTCCCAGTTTCCCGACACTGGCCTCTGGTCACCCCCACCTAGCCGCTGTGGTGCTGGCGCCTGGCTGAAGTCTGCCCTGGAAGTCACGGACACCTAACCCTTTCCTGCCCTGGCCTCTGGCTTGGAGTTGCAGAAGCCTGTTTGGGGAAGGGAGAGGGAGCAGAGGGGGAGGGGTGGAAAACCCTGGGTGTGGGACTCCTTCCTGCCTCTAGGAATGTGCTGAGCCCCGCCCCAGCTTCAGGGGCGGATGATGGTCAAGACCCTGTTGCCTTTCTGGGGGAGCAAGCCTCAGGTTGGGAGTCCTCTGGTTGGGGAGGAGAAGGGAGCACATGTCTTCCCTGACGTGCACCCCCTCCACCCCACGCCCAGGATGGGGTGCCGCAGCCTGTGATCCTCCAATTGTCTACTTTGCTTCTCTCCCCAGGCAGAGCTGCCCCTGACTTAACGTTGGTAAGGAAGGGAGAAGAAAGACGGTGAAGCACCTCACAAAGGCGCTATTGTAGGGAGCGCAGGGTGGGAGGGGGGCTCTCTCCCATTCAATTCTCTGCTAATGTGGGGCTGGCAACAGTAATCACCGCCTGTCACCCACCCGGGGGGCTGCCCACGGAACATCTGGCTCCAGTGCGCGGCACAGGAGGGCTGTGGAGGAGAGAGGGCGTTCTTGCTGGAGGCCTGGAGAGAGGGGTCCCTGCCCAGCGTGGCACTGCCACTGCATGTGGACGCCTGCGTGCGCGTGGGGCGGGTGGCCGCCTTTGAAGCGGGACACCGTGCGTCCATGTGATTGTAAGCTGTCAGGGGCCGGGGCTGGTCTGGGGCCGCAGACTTCGGGAATGGCTGCTGGAGGGCCCTGAGGTGAGGACAGCTCTGACGCTGTGTGTAAGTGTGTGAGTGACATCTGGCGTGCAGAGCGGCGTGTGAAACCCGGTCCTGTTGCCCCCCCGTGTGGGCACCTGTCTGCCCGAATCCTCAATGAGAAAGGCAAAAACACCCTTTTTTTTTGCTTAAATTTTCTTTAGAAAAGTTCACTCAGACTTCCTGAAAGGGCAGAAATCTTTGGGGCCTTGTCATTTGTTACTTTTTGCTTTTTTTCTTTTCTTTCTTTTTGGCTCTTGTACAATCCCTAGTGCTATTTTGGAAGCATTTAGGAAGGTGAGTGGAACTGTGTGGGCGGAGCCAGTGAACTGTCCATAGTCATTAAACTAAATTATCTGCTGCTCAAGGTGGGTGCTGGGGTAGCTGAATCCTGTCCAAAACCAGCCCCCTAGCCCCTTCTCGGACCCTCCAGGACCCTTCATGTGGCCGAGACAGGCATGACCTCTGGTTTGGGTTGAACAGAAGACAGTGGAAAGCTGAGGCCCTAAGGGGGGAAGTGAGGGGTCCAGGGCTTGCCTGTCCATCCCAGGCTGGGCGGAGAGGGCTCCCCTCCCCCACTCTAGCCCCCAGAGTCTCTTGCCCTAACCTCCAAGCTCTCTGCTCTGTGCTCAAGTCTCTTCTCCCTGGCACTGGTCGTCATGTCTGCCTTCCAGAGAAACCAAAGGGGTCATCTTGCCCTTCCGTCAAGGAGCCTGAGCCAAGGTTGTGTGAGCCCCGGGTGGTGGGGAGGGAAGGGCAGAGATGTGAGGCTGAAGCTGTGGACTCAGCTGTCAGGGCTTCTGCCCCCGGGCTCTGGGCTAAGCAGGAAGCAGAACCCTTTCTTTCCCTCCTCCTTCCCCTCCTCCTCCTCCTCCAGGCTCAGTCCCGCTCCAGGTGCACAGGCCCCTTCCTTCCATCAGGCTCCTGGGATCCTCCCCTAACAGTGCTCCACTCTTTACCTGTTCAGGTCAAAACATGCTCTTTTGAGAGCTGCTGAGACCCCGGATATCCCTCCCGGCTTTCAGGGTGGCTGTCTTCGGGGCCTGCTGTCCAGGCTGTCTCCACAGCAGTGGCCCCCAGTGCAAGGGCTTTTCCGTCCAAGCACAGCAGGGGCCCCTTCCACCCTTAGCCCCGTCAGCAGCTGCAGCCTCTGCTGGTCGCCTCTGTCCCACCAGCCTGGATGCTCCCTCCCTTTCTACTCCAGCGACCCGCCCCCCCGCCCCCCAATGCTGATAAGCTCTCCTCTGCCTGCTCTTTAACTTCCGCGCTCACGATGCAGAGCTTAAAAGATTAAATCTTTATTTACGGATTTAATAACGCCACAGAAGAATTATAAATGTGGAAACCAACGTATTACTTCAAAGGGCAGGCCTCTCAGCGCTGTGTCTCCAGAACATGGGTTCTGACAGCATCTCGAGTTGGGCACCTCTCCAGAGCACAGCCTTGTGACCCTGGGGGGTCCCGCCAGCCACCCAGACTCCAGCTTCTCTGAGACTGGGGCACCCACACTCCCCAGCCTCAGCCTTGCGGCTCCAGGGGAGCACATCACATTCTGTCTCCTGGGGATTTAGGATGACAGATCCGAGACGTGGAATCTGAGAAAGTGTTTGGAAGCATCTTTGGCCCCATTACCAGAGACAGCGAAAGCCGGACTACAGAGAGGAAAGATGAAGAGGGCTGAGGCTGCTAAGTACAAGCCCTCCCCCTACACATCGCTCCCGGGCTCACAGTGCACTTCTAGCCTGGAGTCTACAAAATGCCTGACTCCTCAAAAGAAACACTCCCTTTCTTGTTTGTTTTTCTTTCTTTTTTAATTTTTTAATGTTTATTTTTGAGAGAGAGAGAGAGACAGAGCATGAGCAGGGGAGGGGCAGAGAGAGAGAGAGGGAGACACAGAATCTGAAGCAGCTCCCCCCCGATGTGGGGCTCGAACCCACGGACTGTGAGATCATGACCTGAGTCAAAGTCGGACACTTCACCACCTGAGCCACCCAGGCGCCCCTCGTTTGTTTTTCTTTTCTTTCTTGTTCTCAAGTTAGTATGAGTGGGTTTCTATTTCTTACAGCCCAAAGACGACTCCTCACCCTCACTTACCTCCCCACCGAAATCATTCACCCGGTCCCCTGGACTGCTGGGCAGGTGGCCTTGACCCTCTAGGCTGTTCCTCCCTGTCCACAACCGAGAGGAAGCAGCAGAATAAAGAAAGCACCTGTGCGGGTCCGTCACGCCACCTCCATGCCACCTTCCAGATGGCTGGGCAGTCCCCCTTTCCTGCTGTGTTCATCCGTGGTGGGCCGTTGCTTTCTGCAGGGGAGCGCTGCGTATTAGAAAGAGCAGACTTTAAGAGTCTGGTGACCTTGAATCAGAGCTTCTAGGATCAGCGGCAGGCCCTGCCACTAAGTACGGTGACACCTCAAGCAAGTTACTTAATACCTCCTCTGCCCGATAGGATTGCTGCTAGAGGATGGGAGGTGATGCATGCAAACACTTCAGCAGTGCGGACAGTCAGTATCGAGCTCGGAAACCCCACTTCCTAGGGCAGGCTCTTCGGATCGTTTCCACTCCCGCCAACGGGGTCAGGTGCCTCCCCTTTGGGCCCCCATGCACCCCGGGCACATCCCCACTGCAGCCTGTGCCACAATGTTTTGTATTCCGCTCATCTTTGTGTCCCCAGGACCTAAGACAGAGCCCAGCTCATAAATGGGGCCCAGAAAATACTAGTATGGGTTCCCCTACTGACTGTGAGCCCTCAGAGCTCCGGGGCTATTTGTCTCCTCACTCAGAACCTCACGCAGGAGGGGCACATCGCCAGCAAGTGGTAAATGCTCTCGGTGGCATCTTCCATTCAGCTGGACAAAGACAAGCTGCAGATAAGAACCGAGGGCCGTCTCCTTCAAGTGCACATGGTGCCCGCCTTCCCACAGTGACAATTTCTACCTCCAATATCTAAGGGGAAGCTCTCAAACTAGGCCAGTGCATCTAAGCCCTGTGGCCACAGGGGAGGAAGGGAATAAAACCACAGAAGGTAGTGGGAAGACCTTTCTTGTTCGGCATCTGTTTCCTGGCGAGGGTTCTGAAGTAGGTTATGCTACAACTCCCCCGCCCCCCCAAGCCCGGCCCTGCTGCTCGCCTCTTGCTTCACCTCTGTGAGTCTCCGTTTTATCAGTACAATGTGCCTCATAGTACCGTTTCACAGATTATATTGTGAGAAGTAAATGAAGCGAGTCTCATAAAGCAATGCGCCCAGAGCTTGGCACATAGTAGGTGCTCGACAAATGTCATTCTTGTTACTGTTAGTAATGTCATCATGATTGCAGAAGAGTCTCTGCAGAGAGCAACGCGCGCGTGCATTTTGTCTCCTTGTATCTTTACAACGGTTCCGTGAGATAAGCAGGTCTGGGGAGCCCGAGGTGTTCGTCTAAGTCCGCAGAGCTAGTAAGTGCTGGGCCAGAACCTATGGCTTCGAGGCTGTGGGAGGGGTGGAAAGAGCCGGGGCTCTGAGCTTGGGCTGAGTTCAAATCCTT